GCCATCGCAGCTACCATTTACCTTCTCATATCTTAACCCACCCACCCCCCTCTCTCTCTTTTACTTTTATCCCAACACCCTCCCCTCCGGCCGCCTTTTCATATATATATATACCCTACTACGAGCAGCGTTCTCTTTTCCGCCCTCCCCTCCCCGTACCTTCCTATCTATGCGAACTAATAAGAGGGGCAGGGGGGAGGGGTAGCACGTCGCGCAACCGATCGTTATTAAATTGTCGAAACCCTTGCTGCCGAGGATCCCTTGATTTTTCGGGGCCCCACGAACCGCTAGGGGGGACCATCGCAATAGCCCCATAAAAACCGCTACATTTTCGCTGACTATAGCAATTATCCATGAGACGACCAAAGGTCTGCTCTTGGGTATCGAGTTTGGTCTTTACGCGCTCTCGGGTCCGCTGATACTTATCTCAGACTTAGGTCAAATATATAGTATTTTTTTTTTTTTTTTTTAAATTTTTTACGCGCTCTCGGGTCCGCTGATACTTATCTCAGACTTAGGTCAAATATATAGTATTTTTTTTTTTTTTTTTCGAAATTTTTGCGTCGTTGGCGTTTTTGTTGGGGGGAAAAAAAAAACATATCGATGCAACGAATGACGCAGGAAATAAAGAAAATAAGAGAAAGGTATAGAGAGACAGAAAGTCATTCGGACGACGCGCAATGGCCACCGTGCCTCGGTACCACGTCGGGACGCGAGCGCCATTATAAAAATAACTGCTGATTGGACGCCCTACCAAGAAAAGTCGTAATCGCATCCTGAAATGCCTCTTCTCTTTCTGCTACGCCACACTCTCGAGCCCTTCCTTTTCTATCCCTACTTTACCTTCCCCTACCATATTCTTTCGCTTTGGCTGCAAACAACTCCTCCACCTCGTTCACCATCTTTCCTAACCTCCAAACTCCGGCAACTCCATTGGGTCCATTGGGTCCATTGGGTCCATCGTCCGTACCTTTCGCGCATTAATTCAAGCGTGCGCCTTTACGTTGGAATATCGTTCGTGACTGCTGACGAAGGTAGCAAAGGGCTTTTAAGCTTTGAGCGAAGCTTTTATGATATGAGAATTGGTGGGTGCGTGGTGGGGATATTTCATTTATGGATAGGCTATAATACTCGGATCGAATGAACGCCATTTTAACGGTCGTCTTTATCTTCCGCCACGTTGGAGCATTAAAAAGTCCATAGCCAAGGCCCGCGTATATCAAGGATAATTGCAGGGCCAATAATAAAGCCCAAGGGGCCATGCTCGATAGCCCGAAATTGCCGGTTCCCCTACCCCGTTGACTTTATTGCTGGAAACAAAAATGGCGGCTGCGCAGGTCCTTCCCTACCTCCTGATGGCGTGTAATGTACCTTTTGTCTGGTCGTACCGTGCGATACGCGATTAAAGCTTTGCCGTGCGAATTTATTTGAATACTCGCGGGTGTGTTGGTCAAAGAAATTCGAAGTACGTGAGGCGTCTGAGAAAAGTCTGACATAAGTCTTTTTGCTCTCGATCGAGTACTCGTGCTCTCTAGTTGACTATCCGTCAAGTCTTCGTTAATTCTTGCCTGACTGAAGCCAAGCGGGGGTCGCGATCAAGTCGGTCTACGTATACCGTCCTATATAATTAAGATTGAAAATATTTATTCAAAAGTTCGTCAGACTCAAGTGTCAGACTGTCCACGTGGGGAGATTTGATCACGATCGCAACGAGACTTCAGTCAGACAAGAATCATCGTGGAGGCTTAAATCTTGGAAAATTATTATTTTCATTTTTTCAAAAGTACGATTCAAGTCTTAACGCTAGAATGACTGAAACTTAGTATATACCTATATTGCCCAAAGCAGTCAATACGACTGCATCGCGAAAGAATAACTAATGCGTAAAGAAATTTGTTTAAAATTAATTTTTAATTTTTTTTATATTATTTACAGTTATATATCTCTATTCAAGATTTCTTTCATGAATTTAGAAATAAAGAAATAAAATAAACAACTCGTTAGGAGAAGTATCGCTGCTTAAAGATTCGAATAACAAGCACTACTTTAGCTTATTGAGCGACTGCGACTTATCAAGTATACGTCCAAATCGACAATTTATCATGTACTTGTATGTTATCATGTGACGATAATCGAAAAAAAATGAAAATTTTTATTTCAATACAGAGCCGAACTGGTCATATAAGAAATTTACTCAATTCAATAATAAGAGTCGTTTGATTATGTAAAATTTTCCCAAGCAGTCGAAATTACTGCTTTTGGGCAATATAGGTATAACACATATATATACCGGAAATGAAGGAGGGGGGAGATAACTAGAATTATTAATAAACGCATTAATACGTTGTACAAAAAGTCACAAAATTCTAAGAAATTGTGTCGTTATATACATAATTGTTTTTCTAATTGAAATTAAGAAGCAGTCTAAATGACTTCCTTGGGCAATCTAGTGTTAATAGTGGCATAACTGAAATCCTGACGTTCAACTTAACGGTCGGTTCAAGCTTACTTCCGACGTACAGTAGGGATACCACTGTGATAACTTTGATTTTCATGAAGATATATCGTCATGATATCGTCAAACCCACTGTGCACATGAAGTATACACGGATCAAACGCCAGCTTCAAGTTCATATTAAAGTGACGTAGTACAGCAAAACCTCGAGTTACGTAAAACCACGCGGCCTACGTAAACTCGCAGTTTCGTAATAAATCTTAAAAAGGTAATATTTCAGGTTTTTTTTTTCTTTCATATTCTTTCATATATATCCTTCATACTTTCATAGTTCATATCGGAATAAATACTGCCGTATGTGACGTTTCTTTTGTACAATAATAATAAATAATAAATAATATTTAAGTTACGTAAATGTTTACGGAACACGTTGCTTACTCAAATCGGGATCTTACAGTACATCAGAAGTCACAATGATCATCGGACCCTGCACGAGTCTACGATCATGTCAAAGGCACTTTTGGGTATACGACAAGAAAGTATCACAATTGAAATGAGATAAATATGGGGAAAGAATGAATAGGCGATAAGAAATTTGCCAAAGTCATTAAAAAGCCGAGTAAAATGTGTCCGTATCGTAAAACGTTAAGAAAGTCAGAAATGATGGTCGCATTGATAGAATCAAAGTGGGAACTTTTAGTAACAACTGTAGTAACGGCCTACAACCCGGTACGTTCCAAGCGCAAAGCTGCGAAGAGTTGCGGCTAGGTAAGGCAAACGGCGTTTTACGCTGTCTACAAATCCAAAGCCGATCGTTCGCAAGCTCGTAAAGTTTTAGGGTGGGTTTGCGCGATAGTCGCGAAATTTGTTATTACACTCGTTAACGCCGGCCGGACTGCACTCGAAACTCCCGACGAACTCGTAAAGCCTCAAGGTTTATGTATCTACCTGAACACCGATGAATACGTTAGTACTTTTAGCTAGAGACGGCACATTGTTCTTACTGGGACCTTGCTATAAGAGGGGGATTCCCCTGAGGAGTTACTTTATGGTAAAAAAGTCCCCATAGCAAAATAGACCGTTGGCTTTTGAATTCTCAACCGATCGGCACGTGAGACTTTATTGAATGTAAATAGGCCGAGGAAAATTTTTTTTTTTTTTTTTTTTTTTTTTAAAAAAATTAGACCCAGGTTATAATTATCCAGAACTTTCTTTAATTAATTCAATTGATTTTTATTGATTTACCTTTGGTAAAAAAATATGGACATATTTTCCTACGCGACATGCGGTTATTTTCTTTACCTAATTACAGTCGTACTAAATACACACGACAATTTTTCAAAATTAATCGTGACGTATATATTTTTTTTAGCCTGTGAAATTTATCACTGCCTACCAGTTACACGTTACAGATCTCTTTACGTTTAACACGGTAGCTCAAGTCCCCTTGAACTGGTTCAGGTTCATTGATCCATTATCTTCTTGTTCTCAGGTACACCAATCAATCGACTGCCAATCATGGCCAAGTCTGTACTCGACTTGTACGAACTATATAACTTAGTAATCGCTCGAGGTGGTCTGGTCGACGTGATCAACAAGAAGCTATGGCAAGAGATCATCAAGGGACTTCACTTACCTTCCAGCATCACTTCAGCAGCATTCACACTGAGGACTCAGTAAGTAAATCCAATCACAGTTTATAATTATAATCTCGAAGCCTATGTCTATAACGATAAAACAAAATAGAAACGTGAACTGATCATCCTAAAAAAAAAAGACCCAACCCTTGTAATTTTAATAAATCAGCACCTGAGGCACAGAGGAGAACACAAACAGGAAATTACACCTGATACGAGATACCGGAAAGTAAAAAAAGAAAAAATGTTCTCTAAAATCTTTGAACATTTTTCAGCCACCCCTACATCTCCACCCTACAGTAAATCACTCATTGTCAGGCACGAGAGTAACCTCGATAATCGTGAAAGAACAGAGGCTGTACTTACAGGTTAGGTTATGGCGTCCGATGGCTACTATTTTATCGTCGCGCCTATAATCCTTTCCGTGCTTTTGAGTGTTGCCAGAAGGGCCAACATTAATATTATGTGCTTCGACGATTTTCTTTTGTGCGGCGAGCCGCCCTGTATATTTTCCTTAGTCGAGGCCCATAACGCGGATGATACAAGCCGCCATCTTAAGAACACAAATACGACCACGTGGTACGAAAAAAAAAAAGAAAAAAAACGGCGTAATGATGATAACACTATCCAAACAGGGTTGCCGCACGAAGCGGTAACCAACATGAAAAAGAAACGAGAGAGAGAGAGAGAGAGAGAGAGGAAAAAGAAAAGAAATATATAAATCGTTTTGTTCTTTGAAGTTTCCAGACGCTACCGTACAGAGTGCGCCACTGTAGTACCTTGAGCATTCAATACGTCTTTCGGTATCTCGGCAAAGTTTATCCCAGAAGAAATCTTTTTATTCAGATCCCTTCCGATATATAGAATCGAAAGAGTTAAGAGAGGTTAAATAATAATAATAATAATAATAATAATACAAAGAAACTTCACCCAATCGTGAATTTGATTAACACCCATAAAGTAAACTTTTACGTCGTAGATGTTTTTCTTTGAGTCACTCTATATATATATATATATATATTTCTTTATGTATAAATACACATACGTGCGCATAGACAGTTCTTATAGAGCATTCTCGGTATATATGTTTATAACGATCTAATGGATTCTCCTTTGAATTGGGAAGGGATAAGTACTGTTGCTTGGGATCAGTGCTAGTAATGGCGAGGTAACATAACATAACCTGCAAAAGAATATTTGAAAACCTGCAGCAGACTACGCCAAGGGTTAGTTTCGCCTGCAGTCTGGCAGACAATCGTAAAAAACGAAACGATGCCCGCGCGAATTATACGCCGTGGTATATAGTGAGGTTATGCACGCTCGAGATTGGCCGTGGCTTACGTATGCGTAGAATATAAGGTGGTATGAATATACGTGTTGAAGAACTGTACACGTTGTATCGATAAGATGTCAAAGTAAAGAATATTTACGAATTTCGTTTGTAACCCCACCCGAACGTGGCTTCTCTTTTGGTGGGCACGCTATAGGAAATACGAATGGTTTTGGCTTGGAGTCGGTAGACAGGCAATTTGAAAGAATGGCGATAAAACGAGAAAAAAATTGGTGGAGCATAATTTGATTGTACATTTTGAAAATTGGATACCAATTGACGGCTTATATTTGAAATGTATTCTAAGGGCCGAGAAATTATGGTAGTGCAATTGACTAAGTATTTACCAGTGTTACCACTGATCGTTGCTCCACTTATTGGCTGTGGGTGTGGACGGTTTCTTGGACTAGAAGAAAGTAATGATTTTACTTTGCATAAATATCTGATTACTAAGGAAACTCTGTTGAGGATTTCTGTCCGAGGAAATTATTGAGGATATTCATCCAGGCCTGTGGTTACTGAACATTTTAAACACGTGCATTGTCGGGTGCACTTGTCAGTTCAGTTTGTGTCGCCTGTATTTTGTGGGTAAAATGAAAAGTTAAAAGAAAATTTGATATGATAGTCTGTGAATTGCTAATTTTGCGTGAATTATAATTGGAAAAATATAATTGAAATTTCAAAATTCAAAGTTTTTCAATTTAATTGAATTACTCGTACATAGGTATTCGTCGAATACAAATCAGAATGTTTAAAATTTCATTTACATTCGAGATTGTTAATAATTTTAAGCATTTAAAAAAAATTTTTATTCCCAATTTTTTTCAAATGTATATTCCGTAACCCGTCTTTGTACATAGTCACGTGATAATTTCGAATGTTGCGGGTGGCAAATAAAAAATATAGTTGATTGTCGAAAAAAATATTAATTGTATTTAAATCGAATTTGTGGTATTAAATATTGATATATTTATTTTTACAAATATTTCGATTTTCTGACAAAATAATTATTTTGCGACCCTCCATTTACTTGATGTTTTTACCTAGTCCTAAGTCAGTAAGGAATTACAAAATTTTCTTAATTTTTTAAAAAAATTTTTAACTCTGCGACTTAGTTTGACGCGCGTATGACCAAAAATTGCAATTTTCAGGTACATGAAGTATCTGTACCCTTACGAGTGCGAAAAAAGGAGGCTGTCAACACCGGCTGAGCTTCAAGCAGCGATCGATGGAAATCGGCGTGAAGGTCGTCGCAGCAGTTACGGTGCATATGCAGGAGGTGGCGGAGGGGGTGATAGCCTGGTACAGAGAAGTCCCCACACCCCAAGCTCTCTAGCACTTCACGCACAGATGTCACCCTTGTCACTGGTAACAGCCGTAGCCGCCGGTGGGCAGCATCATGGACCACAATCATTGGTGAACGGAAGTGCCGCGCACACACCGCTCCCACACCATCCCCATCATCCTCAGCATCCTCAAGGTCCATTAGGTCAGCCACCTAGTTCGGGTAAGACAACAAATTATAATGACAAAAAAAATGTGTCGATAAGCTTCTAAGACTGAAAATCGAAAAAAAAAAAAGTATCACGTGGTTTTGGCGTTTATTTTAAAACGAACGAATCAGGCATTCTATTTCCGCTCATAAAAGTGTCGCCTTAATGACATACGATCTCATACCAGACTACATAATCTTTTTAAGGTCCCAATACACCGTATCGTCATCTCCTTCCTTTCCACCCTCCTTCGCAGCCTATAAAAAAAAGCCTCGAAAAGCATTAACCAAGAAATTCATCCTGGGGCTCGTTCACTCTGAACGGAAAAGGACAGAAGGTCGAGCCGCAATTAACAGCCCCGGAGAAAGATCCCAGATCGAGATCAACTATTGACCGAAAAAACAAATGACTAACGTCCTCGTGTGTGACGGTTGGTGGATCTCAATTTTAGAACACAATCCGCATTATAATAATATCTCGGTCTAGCCTGTCCGTTTTGCATGTGTTATATCATCCCCTTGCCCCGTCGGCCCTGCGCTCTTCCACGTGACTCCCTTGGCCACGCCCCCCCGTCCCTCTTCCTTCCTCTCCCCATCACCCACCAGACAGTGAACATCAGCCACCACCAGTGAGGCCTCGCACACCAAATCCTGTCCCTGGTTGCTTCTCTCGATGAAGAGAGAGTACGGGTTTATTTTAAATCGGTAGTTAGGGCTTCGGGCCTCCCCGGAGATGATGATGCGAGCGAAGGAGGCGTAATTGATTGTACGATCCCCCGGGAGACAGGCGTTAACGGATGACTCTCGCTAACGAGCATTCCTATTCCACTCCTTCCTAGCCGGGGAACGCGCTCGATACCAACGCTGCTTTTACCCCTATCGTCCGCTCGAGCCCCTCATTGCGCACCCTCCCATCTATCGGCGAGTGCACGAACTCTCAAACCAATTTGCTATTTGGTTCGTGTCCGGGCTAAGTGGACTTCAGGAGAGCACGTGTAGAATTTTTCTATTAATATTAGGTAATATATGGGGGCGGGCTGGGTGAATTGGCTGACAATACTGGCTGACATTAGTTAACCTGTCCTACATGGAAACACCCCTTCTCGTCACTGTAGAAATACAGCTGGCTAAAAACGAGTAAACGACGTACGGGAGGGTAGACAGAAAAAATGATGATTTTCCGCGTGACGGATCTGTAGGGATTAAGAGCGCCCAAATATTACCACCGTGGGCACTGTACTTTCTGTTGATGGAAACACGCCAATCAGGCCTTGAGTCAGTCTAATGGGGTCTTCAATGGTTTTACTTTGTTTGACTGGGTATAGAGGGGGTTATCGGTTCTTACTTGGGGTTAGTTTTAATAGGGGTGATCGTGGGTTCGGTATTGGTTGGGATCATGGTTCTTTTTTCTGTTCCATGTTATCGATAATGATTCTCAGAGCGCGTCCTCAGCTCGTATTGGAGATCGGATACGAATTGGATGCTATCTGCGAATACACAAGGACGTATTTAAAAATGATTGAATTAATTTTTCTTTCGCAGGTCCAATTCCGGGAATGGCTCCAGCTGAATTTGAAGCCAGAATGGTAGAATACGTTAAGCTATTGAATAAGGAATTAAGAAGTGCCGGTGGCGGTACACCGCCACCCATGATTCATCGACAGGGCAGTGCATCCCCACCTTCATCGACACCACCACGTGACAGTGCATTCAGTGCTTTGGAAATGTCGCGACTTACCCTATGGAACATGTACAACAATAACACCCTCTATCCTGGAGTGGGTCATCAGCCACCACTCTCACCACAGACGTCGCATTCGCCTTTGCCGCCAAACAGCAGTCCTGAACCACAGAGAGAGGCTCTCGACTTGGGTCTGAGGTCGGTTCTTATTTAAAAAAAAAAGAAAATTTGTCAACAACACTAATTATTTTCAACGATGGATATATTATGGTTACGCTAATGATTCGACTTCGTTATTTTATCGACATAAAATACATATTTATATGCGCATATGCGATTGACGAAATTTATTATTTAAACATACTGTTGAACATACATTAAAAAGACGTATGTGCGCGTTTTGTGTATCTGCATGTGGTATAGCGGGTCAGGTGACATTTATCAGGATATACATTTGTTTCTTAGCAACGCAACCGCGGGCACATTTATTCCTTTTTCTTACTTAAGAACGTACACTGAATGCGGATGACTTTAAATGCGCCACGCTCGTATTTCTATAGATGGCAGATGGAGCCACTTTAGAGATGACGAGTCGTGAATGCACTGTTGAATGAAAAAAAAAAAAAAAAAGGAAATAAAGAGTAGGAAAACAATGGGACAAGAAAAATCATTTCCAGCGCGCATCGTTTCAATCCCAAGGGCAGTATCTATGGGTTTAGCGTTTCGTTGCGCCATCTCTTAGAAATTCCACGTAACTCGTATCACCGTAACGCGAACGAGCCTGTCTCTTATGAATAATAAAAAGTGTAATACACAACCTCAGTATTCGAGACACGCAACACTGTCACGGTACGATCATCAAAAGCTGACCGAGAGACATTTGTCCAAAATGGCGTCTAGAGTCCGCGTGATGTATAATAGAAAGATGAAATTCTATCGTGAAACATAATGAAATGCTGAATAAATTTTTAAGGGATTAACTCAATGTATTTTAGGTCCTCGCCCATGTCCTCTTCGCCGACCAGACAGAGTCCACCGTCATCCGGTGGCAGTGTCCAGATAAAAAGGGAACAGGAGATCACTGGTACACCTGGTCCACCACCAGCAAAGAGGTTACTCTCTGACGACGATAGTCCTGCGGAAAAATCAGTACCAGCCTTGGCAGGCACGCACATTAAGATCTCAAACAGAGGTAAGCTAATCAGACGAAAATTAGATTAACTTGATACACGAGCATGTTTAATCAATTTATTTATTTTTTTTCTAGGTGACGGACGCAATGGTGACAATTCTTTGGTCGTCAGTATGGAACTAAACGGTGTAATGTACCAGGGTGTATTGTTCGCCCAAACAGAGAGCAGGAACGCGACGACGACCACGACGACCAGCAACAGCACCAAAGCACCTCGAAGCGTCGTATCGTGAACAACTCGGTGCTCTTAGCGCATCGATCCTCTTGGGTCCCGTCGACTCGCCATTCCTCACAGACCCAAACGCCACGGAAGTCGTAGCTAGAAACCAACTGCTAGCTGATAGCTGATTTTTTTTTAATCATCTGGAGGCACACTGAGTTCCGATTTCTCGAACCACTGAAAGTCGATGTAACTTGATCCATGATGTTCCTCCAAGGTATTCCAAAGATGGTACCCAGTCCCTTGAGGTACCCTAAGACGTTGTTCCTGGCTCTATTGGTTGTCTGATCGTTCTATGGCGCTTGTGTCTTTGGGTCTAAACTCCCTGGGTCTTGGAGCTAATTAAACGCGCGAAAATCCTTCTGATTAATTCGTTAATTATACTTAGAGCAAGCGTGAAAGATCCGTGTGCAATGATCGAAATGATGTCTCGTGTTAATTTGATTAATTTTTAATCAGGCCCAGGTCGCGTGTCCTTAGTTGTCTAGTTTTTAAACAAGTCAGGAACTTAAGCCTTCCCAAACGGTCTCCGATTGGGTCGTCCATTTATTTTTTATCGCTTTACAGTCGAATCAAAATGGATCTTAACTTATTTATTTTCTTTGATATTCCTATAGATGGCAGATTGAGCGTTACAAACTTAATGGTCATTGTTTTGACTCGAGACCGTCACATAACATATCCAATGACTTTAACGTGGAATTTTAATGTAACTTCTTTCTTCCACTCCCTTTCATTCTTGTATATTCTTTTATCGTAGGGTATCGAAGTGTCGCTGCTGATATCTGTATATAGTGAACGTTAGCTTGGTGGAGAAAGAAAATAACGGCGACTAGATAGAAGTGACGAGGGGTACGCAAAGTATATAGAAAATAAATTGTGCAGTGAAATTGTAAAAGAGGATGTCAAAATCGAAGTTACGAATATGAACAGCGCGATACTCGGTGCCAGGTCTCTTTTCTTTTTTATATCACGCTTTTATCCATGAATCTTTCAAATTTTATTAGCATCTTGAACTGGTATTCTCCATTCATTTCTATTTCCATATCCTTTCCGATTCATCTCTGTTCTTTCTAACACCAAAGCTCTGTGGGATAACTTTCTCCTAAAGATTACACCAAGGGAGCGAAAAGAAATGAAAATGAAAGGAAACGGAGAAATACAAATATGACGGCGAATACTGTGTCTCTAGAAGATGTTATGCAATAATTGCTAATAGTCTAAGATTAAAGGAACATCTTGTTTTTAGTCATAGCCTTTAGGATATACGATACGTAGTGACAGTAAGGTATTAAAATGTAGCGCGCGTTACGGGCAGCGTGTCGTCAAGTAAAACACGCGGTAAGCAACCGGAAGTGTATTAAGAGAAGAACCGGAAGAGTAAAGATATAAGAGTTGAGAAGTAAGAAAAAGCCAATGAGAAAGTTTCACTTTTTTGCCCAATGTTCATGGTCGGACGTGACGTGTGTTCGTTAATGAAAATACAAGAAAAATATAATTCGGCCGTATCAAAGGATATATATTACGTGGCGTCGTTTTACTTATATACGCCGTGAATGGAACCCCGCGGCCTATTATAAAGGAGATAATGAATATACAAATATATTATATGTCGCTATATTGACCGCGAGAGACGTTAGAGTCGAGAGTTAATTATGGGCGAGGAGTAATTAAAAGAAGAAAAATGAAAAAGGAAGATTTAATTAACAATGAAGTAGCACCGCAGACAAAAAAGTCTTTATTATCGAAACGTGGAGGAAAATGGCGTATTTTATTGTTTATAGTTCGAAGATTAGCCAAAAAGACTGTTACATAGGACGAACATTACACTAGATATTAATTCTTACTACGATCTTATTATTAATTAATTATTCTCTCATCCCTATTATCATTTTAAGGATTATTATTATTAACTATTAATTGATTATTGATATTGCGATCATTATTAATTATCATTAATTATTATTATTATTATTATTGACTTATTACTATTTGTTATGTCGCGTCGCAAGATATCAGTTGCGTTTAAATTTATGACATCCGTTTCCCATTGTCTTTTGGTTGTTTGTAATCATTTTCTTTTTTGCGAAAACAAATTTCCACGTCCCGAAGATCGTCAATAATCTTTGTTCACTGAGAAAAACAGAACAGGCGAAAATAAGAAAAAAAAAAACATTTTAATTTCAAAAAATAGAAAATCAATGTGATGAATCGTAATTGTTCGTTGGGGTATAAAAACTTTACCTCCCCTCTAATATTTTTATCGAATCATGTAACCCATAGCGTGACAGTATATTTTTATTTTTTTCTTTCCTTTTTACCATGTAAACTACATCGCACCAAATGACAGCTGACAATATTAAACAGAGACAGACAGAGAAGATATTTGAATGAAAAATAACTACATACCACATACATACTTATTATATTAATTACGAATGAATTAATTAGTACGCTAAACGTTGTATATATGATATCATTAAAGAAGGAACGGAATATCGATCAGCCTTTTAATCAAATAAACTTATAGTTAAGCACCTACTTGAAGTCTGTGGGGGTACCAAATCAACACGAGTCTACCCTTTCCAATAACCTCTCCCCCTCGCTATTGCCCAATTAACCTATAGCAGTTTTAATAAAATGGTGTTAAATCAATTTCAGTAAGAGTACGTGGGGTAAGAACGGGCTAACCATAAAATTGGTGAACATATGATCCATGTAAGGTTTCGGCTGTATATAATGATTCTATACTGATTGTATATGAGAATAATTATTGATGAAGGCGAAAATGAACTTACACATATAATACTGGGATTTGGATAAGTATATGGGCGTGAAGTAGGGCCCCGAAAACTCGTGTCCATGCCCTTAGTTTCGGCGACCTTCCCCAGGGTCCACATATACCAATTGTTGTCATCACTCATAGAATCGTATCCTTTAGTTGCGCCACCACGCACATGCGCATACGTTTGTAATATTTATTTATTATAACTATCCGATCTCCCAACTTATGTCCATACCCGTTGTTAGTTTGCTAATGGAAAAAAAAAGATTTATTTCAATTCATCCAAAATCCCTTGAAGTGATGTCCAAGTTGGGTAATCATTCCTCCAAAAGCTGGTCCCGGACGTATTTACCTGTTCCGAGTACGGAGACACAAAAAACCGTATTCGTAAACAGCATCTTATTACATGGTAGTACACGACCTAAGATCATACTTAAGACGAAGTACTGACTATGAATATGGGCCGGTCTCTACGCACTACTGTTATTTTGCCAATTCCGTTTTTAGAGCTTTATATTTAAGAGGAGATCTTATAGAGATTTATCCAAGGGAAGTAAGGGAATGCATCGCTTAGAAGAGGCCACGCTACAAGTTTTTTGTTTGGAACGATAGGAAGAAGTTGAACTTGAGATTGCATGAATTGTAGTCAGTTTTAAACGCTGGTATTATTTATGAACCTGTTTTTATTATAAGAAAATACAGGCAACTAATCGTTGGTTGTGTTCGTAGCCCCTGGTTTATTGAAAGTTTACCGAGTTTGCATAATTAGAAAATTATTTAACGAGCCATAAAGGAAGTCTGAGCGTTTTATCATGCAATTTATGGCAATGCTGCATCGTAGTCTGTATCTGTTGCAAATGTCACAGTAATAGTTACATATTGCATGTTTCTGTTGGTAGGTTTATGCAATATGTGACCTTATTCACTTAGTGTTACTGACTGTGGATACTGATTGAAATCTGAAGGCATTAATTACGTCGGTCAAACGTGACTTTTCTATTTCGCTGGCAAAGCTGTACTTCACAGAGTTTATTGTTAATTGACATAGAGTGTCTTGTGACAATTGAAAATGTCGAGCAGCCAACTCAAATTCCTTTGATAGTGACGTGTTAAAAACACCCTTGTCATCAGTCTGAAATTATTAAAATTGTAGTTATTAAAGTTGCTTAAAATATTTCCTTCTTACTTAAAGTGATATCATTTTAAGTATAGTAACTGCAATATTAGGATAATGCTTGAAAAGTTTTCTTGACCAATGAGGTGATTGTGAAATTTAATAGAAGTTTTAAAAAATTGTATCAGTGCAATTGTATCATGAGGGTGGTTTGTTTAGATTCATGATGCTACATTTTGAAAGGTTTTAACACTGTTTAAAAGTATTATTGTCGTATTGCTGAATTTTTAACTTGCAAGAAAACCCGTTATGGGCATTTCTTTCACTCGACACGAGTCAACCTGTAGAATAACACAGTGATGAGAGTGAGACGTTAAAAAAGGATACTCCTGCTGACGAATTAACCCTTCATACTTTACGCATTTTCTTCGCCGTTAGTTTTTATGCCAGCAATGCTGCTAGATGGGGCGTAAAGGGCTAATAAAATCGTACAAGTTTATTTAAGAAGGCTTTCGGAGAAGTTGCGTAATTGTAATACTGAATATTGATTTTTGTAGTACTTACAGCAATGCATATCGGGTGGCCAGCTTCATAAAGATATTTGAATTGATGCAAGTCGTAGGAAGGTACAGTTCCGCATTTGATGTTTGAAGTTAAACAAAGTTCTATGGGAATGTTAGACTGAATAAGTCTTTGAAAAAGTTCTTCCTTTCCATTTAAAGTGGGGTGAATGCAGGTACAGTGTCCAAGTCGATCGGGTTTGAAATTCAAGATATCCATAATCTCAATTTCGTTTGGAACCTGGAACAATATTAAAACATATTCCCACTTTCTGTTTTTTTCTAACTACATATTCAGAATACCTCAGCACAGTGAGCAGTAATCTTAAGACCAGCTTTTCTAGATTTTTCCAAAAGCTCAAGAAAAGCACTGCCTTTGCTGGGATCACCACTTAGATCAAGGCCTACAACATAATCCGGATATTGCTCAATCATTTCAATGGCTAATTCTATGTTCTGCTTGGCAGATTCATACCCTTTCATGCGATCGACGGAAATTAAATATTTCACTAAAATCTCTGGATATCGATTTTTGGACGTTCTTGAGTAAAATTAAAGAAAAAGCAAATATGTAATTTTCAATACAACACAAATTCATATGGTTTTCTCGCAGATCAATATCTTACATTATGCCTCGAATTATTGCCTCGACATATTCCTTCTTCGTCATTACTCCATCCACAGCACGTGGAGTGCTTCTCACTTCCAAATAAATAACACCATCGTCATAAAATTCTCCAATCATATCACATGTAGCAATGAAAACAGCCTCAGACGTGCTCGTTAATGAGTGAACAATAGGAAACAACTGAAAACATCTGCACACATCCAAATTAAATAGTGTGTCTCTAATTCTCCAAAAAACTTGTAACAAGTAATATTTGCAACAGCCTCGTACTCTTCAAGGGAATTTGGTTCTTCGATATTTGGTAAATCCATTAATATTCTTCCGTCAGAATGTTGTAACTCGTACAGTTTCTTCATAATGCGTAAGCTCAGAGATCCATTCAAATGCGCGTGTAATTCCTGCATAAATCAGTTGAGGTTAGAGTATCATCAAAATTAATAACAATACCTAATAAAATTATAAATGCGTTTTTAATCAATTATTGGTACATACCACCTTTGGTAATGCTCGACAGAAACTGTCTAAATTAATTTTCTCAGTACTAGACATTTGTATAAGAATGAACAATTACTGTTTTTAAATAAACAAGAATACATCAATGAGTGCATAAACCTCGATTTTATATACAGATCGTGAAACTCTATTCACTGAACCAGAGATGAATAGGGAGATGCACAACGCTACGATTTTCGGCGATACCAAAATCGTGGCGCTAAATCAAAGCGGCGAGGCCGGAAGTAGGATATTGTGATCATCGCCTCCGTCGACAATACGAATCCCGTCGTAGCCGAGCTAAACGGGAACACGGACGCGTAGCTTGGCGGGCAGAGATTCTCCGCTACTCACCGCTGTTTCCCAAAGCAACCCTTAGAACGAGCCCGGGAACTATACAACTTCTCATTCATGAGAAGGTGCTAAAATACTAAAAATCGGGTAGGTACAAAAAAATCTATTTTTTCAAGGATTCTTTCACTAATTCATTCTCTTCCAGCTCCCTTTAGTTACTGACAAAAGTTTTTGAAAAAAAATTTTTTATGCGAAACCCACTCCCTGAATATAAAAATTAATTTTTAAACTACCTAGTTATAGAGCAGGGATGGGATATTGTTTGAAATGTCACTCGCTACAGAGCACCCTCAAAATATGAACGAAACGTTTAGAAACTATTTTAAAACTATTGGTACACGGGAAAACTTGAATTTTAAGTTTAGATTTCTAATCAGCAACCTCAAAAACGCTCGAGTATGGAGTGTCATTCAAATCCACCTTTATTATTTTTATGCCGCTATTTTCAATTTGTAAATTTTGAGTTCAAAACCCCAATTAATGACCGCGATGCCACCAAATTCCTCATTTTAAATAAACCGCAGGATAGGAAAAATAGAGTTAATAATTGGGGTCGAATTCATTCTCTAGGAGTAATTTTCGAGGCGCAAAAAAAATTTGAAATTTAATTTTTGTACTTCTTTATTTTCACTGTAGTTAGTAAACAGCAATAAATTTTTGTTACAACAATACTATAAAAAACTACGCCACCAAAGGATTAAGTTGGGTTTAATGAACAAAATTATAATCCCTTAAAATACATGTATGTTTATACTATCACATTTATTGGCGAATAATTCTTTTGTTACAAGATAATACTTTTTATAATTATAAAATTATTTAAAAAATTATGATACAAACAAAATCACATCAGTCTGCCAAAAATAATTTGATTATTAAGAAAAAGAAAACTTAAAAATACATATGTATCCTTATTTTATATTTTAACATAACTAGAAGTTTCTTGTTGATTCTATAATCAAAGGCGTGTCATACCACGCAAATCAAATACCAAAACACTGGACCTTTAGGTGGATTTGATAGCCGGCATGCCAGTTTGTTCGATGGGAATGACCTTCTCTCCAGGTGCTGGTAGAGCAATTTTTGGGGCTGTGATCGTCAAAACTCCATCAGATGACAAGTTTGAAACGACTTGATTGATGTCATGGTCTTCGGGTAGAACATAGCGCCTGACGAATTGTCTGGATACGTATCCATGCTCATCCTTTTTCTCCTCGTGTTTAGCTTCAACGACGATGGAGTTGTCGACAGTCTTGACGGTAATTTCGTTTGGTGCGAATTGCTGTACGTCCAGAATCACTTGGTATTTATCTTTGTCGCTCTCAATTCTCGATTGGCCTGCAGTTTGTTCCAACAGATTGCGCCAAGGCCTAAAATATGAATGGAGCGACGGAAGGGATAAGGTGTTCATTAGATCATCACGACGAAGACCCAATCCGAAATGTTGATCCAGCAGACGTTGGGGACGTTCGAAGTCGTCCCACCAGTCACGAAACACCATAGGAATAAGCGCCATTTTTTTCACTTGTGCTTTTACACTTGGTTAATACCCGATCCGTTCAGTGCCTTGATTATTTTCGTACTGCATACGTCTGCCGACTCGGCCGTTTATATTTGGATAGTCTCGCGCTCGAGAAAATTCGCCAGTCCAACGTTGTCGTGTCTTGTAGTAGAGAGAATAACCTTAGTTGATTGGCTGAAAGCAGGGAAAGAGGCGTGGTTTTTGTTGAAATTTCGGTGGTGGGAGGAGGCGGCAGGACTGTTCTCGAAATGTTTAGCGCATGGTAATCTTAAGTTTATTGTTTTGCTGCATATCTACGCGACTGACATTCGGTACGGTTCGTGAATCGTCTAGAATATATAGACAGCACCTGAAAATACACGACTCTCGAATGTATTGGCTGATTAACCTTAGAAGACATACATACGTGTTACCTACCTACTGTTACAATTTTAATCATGGGGATTCCCGCTGGATCTCTGTATTCTTTCCAGGATTAAGTATTTTTGGTGACGTGTCGCATTATTAGAGAATAATGACTGATATGATATTTATTTTATTTATTCAGAATTATTAATGTATTAAAACACTTCACCTATCTAGATATGTACACAAGTTGTATCTGAAAATTACGATGCCTGGTTAGCGGCTTAGATGAATCGCCAGATAGCTTTTTAGGAGGTTCTAGAACATTTTACGAATTAGATATGTATATAGATTTACGACCGTGAATCCATAAATACTGCGTAATATAACCCTGGATTCTAAATTAAAATCTCTGTAGCAGACTGATGTGCAAGTATGTATTTACGTTCGAAATATTTCTCGAACAGTAAGATTTGAAGTTGCGCATGAAAATGTGGAAATTGATTTATCGGAATTGCGTAGCAGAACATTATTGTAACATCGCGAGTGTCGTGCAATGCGTCAGGTATATTAGTGTTTTCAGTACGATTTATTATTAACCACAAATTTCTACAATTTTAGATAATTTATCGTTGAGTATAGTTTTATTTCTAATGAATTCATAATAGTAATTGACTACATTTACACGACGGTCTTAAACCGGTTTAGTGATTACTGATTCTAAAGGAATTGATAACTCATAAACATTTCTACTTGTACGTCATATTTGGGATTGGTCAATTCTTTTAGATCAGTATTAACTAAACCAATTTAAGGCCGCCATATAAACGTAGTCATTTATACAGTCAAAAATGCGAGGGTAGAATTTAACATTATTAATTGCAGATAAATTAAAGTACTTTTATATATACTTTATCATAGGAGACTTAGATGTATATTTGTATGACATAACCTTGGTATTTAAAAAAACGACCATTTCAAGAGATAAAAAAGCATTTATATTTCCACGATAAAGTGATGAAAAAATTCTGCTACTATTCATCCACTAAATTGCGATTCACTCCAGTTTATGACACTCCATTGACATGTAAATTTACTATTTCTTGTATGAAATCATTTTTGCCAATATCAATATTATTTTATGTATTACAGTCACTCCTATTTCGTATATATTAATACAGACTAAAAACATAACCACTATTTTATTCTATATAACCTATAAATTGTATCAATTCAGTAGCGATCTGAGCGCCATCAAGAGGCTGTCTATATGTATAACAATGCCAGCAAATTGTATTGAAATGCATCTAAGCGATGCATTCAACTACATTCGACGTTCGTCATTGCATGAGTACGAAACAGTAGTTGAGAAGCCAGAAAATAAAATATATCAGTAGTTTAAGTTGTACACTTTCACTATAATCATAGTTACTTTTGAGGTCTGTTAATCTGAAATTGAACTAATTTTTAATGTTATCTGAGATTTAGATATCTGAAGAATTGATAGTCTGGCCAGAGATGGTCTGCCTCCTTGGTAATTGTATGCTGTCCCAGGTGCTTTCCAAATAAAAAGCGTGTACATTCGACAAGTCGCTTGAATTTACCAAAGAATTACAACTCATGCATATATATAAACGTGTTAATATATTGTGTTAATTTTCTGTCAATGACTAAACTTGTTCATATCAGTGGTCGAGTCTCAAGAATCGCGCAACAGGCAGAAGATCACACACGCCACGCAATTCATGTGATTGGAGGTCAGTCGCCAGGCGACATTAGAGAAGATGTGATCCTACACGAAATTTCGTCTTAACAAAAGGAGTCTTAGTGTCTTCCTTGTTATCTTCAGCAGATTATTATTATCATTCGGTACGCTTTTAACCCTTCAACAATGTATTACAAGCATCCATTATTATTTAACCTATATTTTACGCTTTGCGCAATTCACAAGCCTTGAAAAGCAGAGTAACCCCAGAGTCCCCTCTGGACTCTTGTATCTGATGGATTCATCTTTATAGTAGTATGTATTTTCGGATTAATGTTTATTTTCTGATTATGTGACAGAATGACGAATCTTATTCAAGGGGTTGACGAGTAATATTTGATTGCATTGATACTTGCTTTGATTGGAATAGAAATAAATTGATTTTTTTTTGTAAAAGATGGAATATTACAGATCGCATTTCCGTTCTTCATAATTGGGTTTTATGATTGTTCACGGTATTTTCTTTTTAATAGTTCATATGAATAATGAGGAATATTGATATACATACATCTCTTTAAAAATTAGAGTAACATCTAAAATTATAACCTCGAAATTTTACACTTATTTATTAATAACCTTTAGTGAAAAGTAAAGGCTTCATATTTTTTTAATCAATAGTTTGAATTTTAAATGATATCTTTATTTTCAGCTTATTCGTATACACTTCTGTTCTTCCAACTATGTAACAAGGGTAGTTGATTGGAGTCCATAGTGACCCTTCTTGTGGATAGTGCTTCTGCCGATCCTCTACATTGTTACTTTCACCAAGTCGACCTGAGTGGTTCTGGTGTTAACTCTTCATGCAACGGCATGCTGGATAAAGGCAAAACTGTTAGAGTGGTAAGTAATAGACAGTATTTGATATCATTTGTTGTTATGGGATACAAGAGGTCTGTTCTTGTTACCTATACTTTATGCACTTTTCAAAAAGTGTAGATTCTCATTGGTTACTTAAAAATATCATCCAATAAGATTTTGCACTTTTTGAAAAGTGCAAAAACTGTAACGAGAACAGACTAAGGTATTTTGTATGATATCACCAGTCTGTGTATACATATCAAAATCTGTTTAGATCTAATACATTCTGATAATATATGCCTAATGCATGCTTGCTTTTTTTTCCTTATCTGATGCTAATTATCTTATCATTTGGGCCATACAATGACTTATTAATCTTCCAAATATCAGGTATGTACCAGTGTCAGCATCAATTCCTCATTCTAATAAAAATGTTTCTTATACGTTTTATAGTAAATCTAAGGCGTCGAATCAATTATCAGCTACCATTACATTTTCTTTCAGGAGCTAGAAATTCTGTTGATAATGGTCAACTTTGTTTATATTGATAAGTACTTGGGTGTACATGTACGTTCATTGTGAAATTGCATACGTGACTGGGTTATTATACTTATATTTTTATAGTATTAATATACCATTCTGTATATACATAGGACACATTATAGTTCACTTTTTCATAATTTTTTAAATCCTTTATCGTTTCACTGAATTTCAAACATGGATTTATGTATCCTCTAGCTTTCAAATTTCATCAGTGCTTTAGAATCTGGATTATATTATTTTTTTAGTTTGTGAACTGGTTAAACTTAGGGTGAGTCCCTCCTATGATTGACAACAAAGATGGCGATTGGCAGCATAATATGTGGAGCATATACTCCCAGAGTCAAGCAAAAGAAGGCAAAGGTATTTTTTTCATTGTTACATTTTCATCATGTACGACAAACTTCTGGATGAAGAAGTATCATGTGTCAGGTGTGCATGACATGATACCCAGGAACGTTCTATGGGTAACCACAATGAAATTTTTCATCATCTAATAACAACTTAACAATGATTACAGACAACAGCTCGGAGCTGGATCGAGGCAACATTTCAGAAACGAGAGTGTTCGAAGTTTATACCCAGTGCAAAAGATGAACACAGGTGAGTCAAAAGCATGACAACGTAATTCTAAAGTGTTCTATTTACAAAATTATAGTGTGGTCCAAGAGTGTAATAAAAAAAACTAGAAAACAAAAAACCTCATACATAAGAAGGTCTTAATACAAATTACTCAACATCAAATGCAAGATACACCCTGTATTGACTATATGTTTAAAGTTAGTTATTAAACCAATTAATTATTGTATTTTATCATTAGCTTGAAGTTTGTCTATTTACAAATACTTTAATCATTGATTTGATTTTTTAAGAGAATCTTTTGGTCATTTTACATATGATTTGCGATCAGGTACATTATTCTTTTCTAGCTCATTGCCATCTAACTTAAACATTATTTAAGCTTGACTGACCTTATATAAGCAAAGCTTCTCTTCATTTTCATTTTATTACTTTAATCCTCACAGCGTATCAAATACTTGATTAAAATACTCTAACTAATTTGGCACTAACGATTTAAACATTACCCATGGGATACATTTGTTTACAGCATTATGCCAAAGTGAAGATAAAAAATATTTTGTCGACAACGATGGAAATGGAGCCACGCAAAAGAATATAATTGATTTTACAATATGTGAAGACGGACACTGTACTGATTCCTAACACCTTTCACTTTATTTCATTTATAATTTCTCTTTATTTCGTTACGTTTTTTTAGGTTTAAAGCCGTACAGGGTGATAAAAACGCAGAGTACGACGTGCTTACTACTTCCAGGTGAGAATTCAAAGCGCAGAGCAACCTACCGGCTCGTACGCGCTTTGGCAATAGTGCGCTATAAAAAAAATGCAACATTGACGAACAAAGTGTCAAATGATTATTAATCTCAAAAATAATCCTTTTCAGAGGAAAAGAAATATTGTTGCACACACAAAATACCACTGCTTTTCCTGTGCCTTAATGCATCCTTGCTTACTTCTGCCACTTTATCTGATTGGGTGTCACTAATAACCATCATCATCTTTATCATCATCATCCTCATTCTAAAAGATTCCAGCTGAAACTTATTGATGTTACCCTTTACTGTAACACTGTGCTCTTGGACGATTCCTATATCTCAAGTTATTATTTAAAAAAATTATGAATTTAGTTTTTCTAGGTCATCTGTAATGCTTTCTTACAGTACTGAATTATTTCAGATGTTGTTGTGGGCATTCATTTACACATCATTGTGGAACTGGTGCTGATGTGCAGAGTTGTACAGCCAGCACTACAGATGACCAGGAACGTGTACAATGGTCACCTGGAAAGAATACACGCCCATCACCTACAGACGCCTATGGAACAATCGAATTTCAGGGCGGACCACATCCTACCAAAGCTCAAGTAAGTATTCTGATACACACTCCTGTCATTCTTTTATTCTCTTGTTATAACGAATTTTTGTTTTCGTCTTCAGTATGTTAGGTTAGCTTATGATACCCGACCAGAACCCATTGTTCAATTGTTGAGACGCGAATGGAATCTGGGTCTACCTAAATTACTGATTACCGTTCACGGAGGAAGGTCGAATTTCGAATTACAACCCAGTCTCAAAAAGGTTCTTCGCAAAGGGTTGTTAAAGGCTGCAAAAACCACTGGTGCTTGGATCTTTACTGGCGGAACCAATACCGGTATAATTATTTAATACAATCTTTTCAAAACATATCAATTTCTATGTTATTTCTTGTCTATTATAGGCGTCACACGACAGGTTGGCGATGCTCTTCTTCTGGAGCGATCGCATCGTCAGGGTCGTGTTGTTAGTATTGGAATAGCACCTTGGGGAATTTTAGAAAAGAGTCATGAACTTGTCGGTCGTGGTTGTGACGTGCCATATGATTCAATTGCTTCACCTTGGTAAATCTCAGTCAAATAAAATCTAATAATTGCGACACATTGAAAATCATTCTTATTCTAGGTCTAAGTATGCTGTGCTCAATAACAGACACGCCTACTTTCTTTTGGTTGACAATGGCACTGGCGGTCGGTATGGCGCAGAGATCGTCCTCAGACGAAAACTTGAGAAATATATATCCAATCTGAAGCTCCAGCCATGTATGGAAATAAAAATATAGTTTTGATGATCCAACATCTTAATTACATATTAATTATACATATTTTGCTTCTTATTTTTCAGATACTCACAGTAGCATACCTGTGGTGGCTCTCGTAATTGAGGGTGGTACAAACACAATACGTTCAGTTCTAGAATACGTCACCGATGATCCTCCAGTTCCTGTTGTCGTTTGCGACGGTTCCGGTCGCGCTGCTGATCTCATCGCTTTTATGCACAAGTACGTTATTACTTTGTAATATGTGTTCAGGATCTGTTCTGAATCACCCATGTATTTAGGTATGCTTCAGAGACCGATGGGGAGAGTGGCGAAGGTGAAGGACCGTTAGAAAGCATGCGAGAACATCTTTTAAGTACGATACAGCGAACCTTTAAAGTTTCTCCTGAACAGGCGAATCAATTATACTCAGAATTACTTCAATGTACTCGTAATAAGAACTTGGTACGCAATTCAAACTTGGTACATGCTACAATTGTTCAGAAAAAGAATATCTCAACCGTAACTATTTTTTATACAGATAACCGTCTTCAGGATAACGCAAGACCGACCTCAGGAACTGGATCAAACGATTCTGACAGCCTTATTCAAGTCAAAGCAACTATCACCTACAGAACAACTCTCATTGGCTTTAATATGGAATCGGGTGGACATAGCGAGAAGTGAAATTTTTGTATACGGTCAGAAATGGCCACCTGGTGCATTAGAACAGGCAATGATGCAAGCATTGCAACATGACAGGATTGACTTTGTGAAGCTACTCCTGGAGAATGGTGTATCTATGCGAAAGTTCCTAACTATACCGCGGCTTGAAGAACTCTACAATACTGTAGGTGAAATATGGCGGCCATTTTGGACTTTAAGATTCATCCAATATGTCTACTTTTTTTTTTTTAGAAAGAAGGTCCGTCCAACACTTTGGGCTATATTTTGCGAGACGTGCGACCTCATATTCCTCGAGGATATATGTACACCTTGCACGATATTGGTCTGGTAATTAATAAATTAATGGGTGGAGCTTATAGAGCCCAGTATACTCGTAGAAAATTTCGAATGATTTACGCAAAAGTCATGAAGAGGTCAGGTGGCCATCATTGTCATCGAAATAATAGTGGCACTAATTTTGCAAGCCGATATTATTCTAGTTCCAGTGGAAAGCCTGATAATCTCACAATGAGCTTACTCGCCGAGACCTTGCCAGCCAATAGAGATACTCCGCTATTTGATTATCCTTTTAATGAACTTCTCATATGGGCTGTACTGACAAAACGACAACAAATGGCGTTACTCATGTGGCAACATGGCGAAGAAGCTTTGGCTAAAGCTTTGGTCGCCTTGAAGCTTTACAAAGCTATGGCACATGAGGCTGCTGAAGATGATCTTGAAACAGAGGTCTACGATGAGCTACGTGGTTACGGCAAGGAGTTTGAAAATATTGGTAAGTTAAACTTGACTTGGTTATTGATTATATATTTGATTAAACGTATACCATTATCATATTATATTTTTTTGTTATCAGCACTGGAATTGCTTGACTTCTGCTATAGACAGGATGACGATCAAACGCAACAATTACTCACATCAGAACTTCAAAATTGGTCTGGTCAGACGTGTTTGTCTCTTGCTGTCACAGCCAATCATCGACCACTTCTTGCCCACCCTTGCAGTCAAATCATATTAGCTGACCTGTGGATGGGTGGTTTACGCACACGGAAAAATACCAACTTAAAAGTGAGAAATAGAATTAACAGTTTTTCGCTCGCAAGACAAAATGCTATTAAATAAAGATCAATAATAATTTCGAAATAATCTTAAGGAACGTGATTCAGTTTCTTATATTTGTATTTTACATTATCTACAGGTTGTCTTGGGCCTCCTCTGTCCAGCGTATATAACGAGACTGGAGTTCAAAAGTCGAGAGGAACTACAACTAATGCCACAAACTCAGGAAGAGCACTTAATCGCTTTAGAAGATGAGAATGAAGATAGTGAATCGGAGCAAGGAGTAACAGAAGGTCCTGATGCAGAGGTAAAAGACTTCGTAGCCTAAATATATTCATATGGAAGCAAGTACCCTACGTATTATCCGTTTAGATCTGTCTCGCAGTAATATTAAAAGAAAGAGTGATACCTATTCTACAATAGTTGACTAGAGAGAAAAGAAACAGAAACATTCTAAAGTCCACAAAGATGACAAATAATTCTGAGTTCTCACGTTTATCTTGGGGTTCGCTTGGGGTTGGGTTTTCTTGTTTTTTTCTAGAAACGTCTACGCAGAAGTCTAAGCGTACGCAGCAAGAGCAGCAATCAGCAGGGCGTAAAGGTACACCCATACTGGTCTGAATCGAAAAATGAAAAAAAAAAAAAAAAAAAAAAAAAAAAAAAAAAAAAAAAAAAAAAAAAAAAAAAAAAAAAAAGAATAAAATGCATAACATGCCAGTGGGAACTGTTCGATGTAGTATTTTTGTAAAATCACACAAAAAAATAACAATTTAATCAATCTGTATACTTTGCACTACACTATAACTTTTTGTGCTATTGATAGACTCACAATTCCGTTTCCTTCCTCTGCCGCTGCTGGCTTTATACTTTGTTTTTTTGGCATAACTTTTTTCCATTTGATTTTAATATGTCATGTCAATGTCACATGTCATTTCAAAAAGTATAACTGCGTGTGTGACGTTTACCTATTACGTACTCTAGCCTATTATTATTCTTATTGCAATTGTCTATCACCTGGATACGTTTCGAGATCAAATACTAGACTTGACTATTTTAGATCTTCAAATCTTCTTCTAGTATTGTGACTTCTGGAAATATATCCATTAGCCCGTATTCGGAACTCGCTTTCAGTGCTAATAGCACGCTTTTAAATTTTTTCTTAGTGACTTTTAACTCTAAGCGACTCTGTTAGTAACTTTAAGAGCGAGTTGTGAATACGGGCTATTGTGTTCTTGTTTGGCTTTGAAGAAGGAGAAGAATCCAGCATCAACGCCCCCCGCCCCCCTCTTCCCCACATTCTTCTGTTATTTCTTATTACAAATTTTTGACACTTAGCATAACCCAATGTATAATCGTGAATCCTTTATTGATATATCTATTTTTTGTCTTTCCAGGTTGATCTCTCGTAATCATTTTCTTCTCAGATTCTCTTTAGCCTCACTCTTGTTATTTGAATAGTATTATTATCAGCGAATGTCTTCGCCTTTATTTATAAGATACTACTTGTCTTACTGCCAATGATACGGGACGAGATGCCGTTACTGTAAATTAATAAGCAAAAAATGTCCTTCAGAACTTGTTACTGTTTCCACTAAACGTGTAATACTTGCAGTGTGATTTTTGTGTTATAATGTCGTGACGTCAGGGGCATCGTTTTGTTCAAACTCTCAAAGTCAATGAAAACTATTTGGATCTAATACATTGACTATGGGAGGGCAGTCTAACATTACTCCTTTGTTCTTTCAAAGATTTATACTTTAATTCAGTTAAATATATGAATGATTTATTAATGTTTTTTATTTTGTTTTTTCATTTTTTCCAATAACTAGGCATTGATCTCGAACGAGCACAACACATCCGTTATCAAAGAAACTATTGTCCAAGAAAATGGCAAAGTCATGGCTGACTATGATGATACCAATCATCGTTTCTACAATGTACTTCCGGAGTACTACGATAACAAGACTAACAGGCCACTTAGATTCAAGAAGAAACTATACGAGTTTTATACGGCGCCGATTACTAAATTTTGGGCTAATGCTGTGAGTCACTTTGTTTAATATTAATTGTTTAAATTATGTTGCATAGATAATCAAGGGTATTTATGTTTGTTATCCTTTTAGATAGCCTATATTGTTTTTTTACTATTATTTTCCTACTGTATTCTCGTGCGGATGGGCAAAAAACCTACTTGGCCAGAAATTTATGCTATCGCATACATTTGCACACTGGGTTGTGAAAAAGTGCGCGAAATTGTATCCTCTGAGCCAGCAACCTTGTCGCATAAATTCAGCGTGTGGGCTTGGAATATGTGGAACCCCTGTGATGCTGCTGCAATTATATTCTTTCAAATTGGTTTGATATTGCGTCTGAGGCAATCGACCTTTGATGTGGGTCGCGTCATTTACTGCGTGGATTGCATATATTGGTACTTAAGGATATTGAACATCCTTGGGGTGAACAAATATCTTGGTAGGTTTATTTTATAAGATATTGTTTCTTTCTTTTTTGGTCACATATGGATTTTACCTCAGACTCTTTTATTATTCTTAGGTCCTCTGGTAACAATGATGGGGAAAATGGTTAAGAATATGATATATTTTGTGGTACTCCTCTTGGTTGTACTAATGAGTTTTGGCGTCGCACGACAGGCCATCTTAAATCCCAATGCGGAACCAAAATGGAGGATAGTTCGTGATGTATGTTTGATAATGAAGTATACAAAAGTGTATTTTAAAAGTGATGGATGTTAATAGTAGAGTTAGGTTCTAAGGAAGAAATTAAGAAATACTATAATGACCTTCGGGTTAAAATTCGAAAATTTATCCAAGATATTAATTTATTTGACATTTCAAATCCATCGCTGATTCACTCAACTAGAATATCTTCTCGTTACGTTTTACGTTAACTTTAATTTTGATTTTTATAAAATCTTTACTTGAAGTATTTCAAATGTTAAAACATGTTTTTCTTAATTTCTTTTTATAAAATCCACAGCTCTGCTATTGACGTCAGTTACTTTTGAAACGTTCTATATAATGGCTTAAATAGCGTTCTACACTGTGGATAACAAAGGATACTGATTATTGTTTGTTTCCTATAGATATTTATGGAACCGTACTTCATGCTGTACGGTGAGGTTTATGCAGATAATATTGATCCCAACTGCGGCGATGAACCCGGTATGATGCAGTGTCTACCAGGACGTTGGATCACACCAGCAGCCATGTCAGTTTATCTCCTGGTGGCGAATATTTTACTGATTAATCTTCTGATTGCCGTTTTCAACAATATCTTTAACGAGGTCAACGCTGTGGCGCATCAGGTCTGGATGTTCCAGAGGTTCACTGTGGTGATGGAGTACGAGCAGAAACCTGTTTTACCACCTCCATTGATCGTCATTTGTCACATCTATCTTCTCGTGAAGTATATCTTAAGATACATCACACAGGGCACTATGTCCAGTGGCGAAACCTGTGACAATGGGCTGAAGCTCTTCCTCGAAGCCGACGACATGGAACGACTCTATGACTTCGAAGAGGAGTGCGTTGAGGAGTACTTTCGAGAGCAGGAACTTAAGCTTCAGATGTCTACTGATGAAAGAGTCAAAGTTACTACAGAACGTGTTGAGAACATGCACCAGAAGATAGAGGATATCGACAAAAAGGAGAGCAATCAGAATGCATCGTTACAGGTAATAACTATTACCTCCTCTAATGTATAGATTAAGAAGGGGAGTCTGTTATGTAAAACATAATTACACTTTTTCACTAAATTACTAATTTGAAATGCATTGCAGGCTGTGGAATTTAGAATACGTAAATTGGAGGAGTTGAATGAGCAGACTCTAGCACATCTAGGTGTAATTCATCGTTTCATGGCTACGCACATGCCTGACGAGAGTCTTCCTGGTCTCGACGGAGCCACGGAGACGAGAATTCGTCGCGTGTCCGAGCGTTCCGAAGCCGTTTCCGAGGCGGATTCACATTCTCAATTACCATCACTATCTACCCGACGAAAAAGGCTTTTACGTTCTCTGACTGATGCTACTTTCCTAAATATGAGTCCACCTTTAGAGGACGACATCTCTAGGCGCTCTGAAGTCATCACTTCGCACGAAAATCTCAGTAGAAACGATTCGTCAGTAAGTGGTGACGGAGATAATGGATGCGAGGATGAGGGTAAGACCTCAACCAGCCACGAAAGTCAGCATTGTAAATCTCAGGAAGCCGATACGGAACCTGAGAAGGATAAGCCAAGCGACGCCAATAGTGACGTTCCGGTTTCTGAAACAAGAAGAGATTCTACTGGTCGTACTGTCAGACAAAACAGTCGCACCAGGTCAGAATCCGATGACGCATTATTGATACCGGCACCAGGTTTTCAACGTGGGGTCACCTGGGCTGAGCCCCGGGTCGCAGTGATCCCAACTGCCGTGAGTTCAGCAGGTGCCAGCGCGAGGTCGGTTCTCCTTGCGATGAGATCGGAGTACACCAGCATAACCGACGAGCTCGAGAGCTTCTGCGGGCTCCTGAGCCCGCCGCGTACGCCGCCCGTGTCTCCGCCGCCACGAAGAGGGCGCAACACCTCGGAGATGTCCAACCCCGAGATGGCACTGCACCTGGAAAACGAGCACCTTCGTGACGCCGAGGAGTGTGACTATCAGCAAATGGAGGATCTGATACAGAGGCGATACATGCAGGGGGACAATGAGGATTCACTGGATATCAATGAAGATATAGCTGCAACACCTTTCTATATAACCAGTGAGAATCGTCAACTTCGGCGTTCATCGGCTGTCGATGAGGACACTCGAAGACCACCACCTCCAACCATAAGCGTCACCAGGGAAATAGAACAAACACTTTCAAGGCCACCCGCTATCAGGGAGGATGACGCACCGGATCCTAATGATAAGGCACTCAGCACTGCACCTGCACCAGCCTCTGAGACTATGTGCTAAACGTAATCTGCATTAATTTTTCTGAAAAGGTTTTGGCAAGTGCTTTTTTCTCACTCTAAACATAGCAAGCTTTTTGAAATATTTAATAATATGAGAAACTTTGCATTGGGTATTCGATATCCAATTTACCTTATTGTCTGAGGAATTCATCTTTTATATCTATTGTTCTTCTTTACTATTTTTGTTGTGCCACATTATTATATTCTTCTTTATTACTGTTTAATATAGTCAGAATGACGCGGCTAGCTAAGTCAATTTGTACATATATTATACAACAATTTTTTAAATTCTTTCATTGATTCTTCCATGGCGCTCAAAGGGCCTTGCTAACCAGGACTAGGTCAATTTTCGAGTCCGTGTATTAGGCGCTGCCTATACTTTGCTCAAATCTAGTTAATTTTTATGCATTGACCATTGCTGGAATTGAATTATATTATTTAATAATTAAATGATCTGCAAGTCATACAGGCTGATAATACCTTAAGTTCTTACGTTTCGTATCTAGTCGTAATTGGACCTAATATTGATAAGAACTGGATCTAATTTCTGAGTCACCAAACATAGCTAATGTATGCTATATACCATAGTACAGCTCTTATCCATCTGGCTCTCACTTAATTCAAATTAGATTCCTAATTTGGTTAATTCGGGTGACTTCATCATATATCAGTCTATCTGTCAATCTATCTATTACTCTATTTGCTATTCATACTTTTCCACACTACTCTTTTAGCTCTCGCAGCACATGAACCAGTCGCATTTTACCTGAATTTAGATTTCTATTGTATCCATGTAAATTATCGAAACATATGACTTTGGTATATCCGAACGGTAAAAGCTACAGCTAGAGGTTTAGAGTTTCCTTGTGGCTCATGGACCAATTACAGTTGAAACAACAGATTAGAATGTTAATTAGTATATTGCCATCTTGATACACGGTATAATTATCCTGAATTATACTCAAATGCATCATGCACAATTTCGGTGCAGGCATGTTTTCGATACTTAAGTCTGTAAATTATACTAGCGACGCACTTACCGTTTTATTCGGCATACATTTCTATCCTATTCGGGATGTCCGATCAGGATACGCATGAAAACTTACATGCTCTTCTTAATAAGGTTTTATAGGTAATATTAAGGCTGTTGTTTAGATATTCTATCTGGGTACAGGTAAACGGAGAAGACACGACGTCATAAGCAAGGAAACTTTTACAATCTTTTTTCTACATTTTTCTGAATTTTCTGTTGATTCATGTAATTATTGGTTCGAAAAACTAAGCAGGCGTAATGATGGGCACCATGAGGGTTTGACAGGTTGGCTTCTTCTTAGACGTTATTCTTGTAAAGATGTAAATGTAACGAAGGTGGCTAAACTAATGACGTATCAAATTGGTTGAAAGCAAACGTCAAACGTTGTCACCTTAACCACTCTGTCTGCCTTTACATAGATAGATTAGCAGAAAAGCAGCCTTAACAAATATTCGAAGTATAGTATAGTACTATATATTATTCGAAACGTACTGAGGTCTTTAGCGCTTTAATCGAATATAGATTTTGGACACGTTTTTTCTGTTGATGAATATTTATTTTTGTCAGAGAAAAGATACTTGTAACGACCACGTGAAAATTATTGCGCCCATTAATTATACATAAATCGACAATTTTTTGGCGACAGCAAAAATAGTAACTGTGTCCTTCGTTTCGAATTTAGGAAATTGAGGAAACTCATAATTTTATCGGACTAGTCGGATAACCTGAAAAACTAGGAGCACCCTGATTGAATCGAAATTTTCAAGTTGAACAATTTTGAATCAACCAAGAGTCAGATTTTTGTTGTTGAAGTTTTCGATTAAGCACTGCTTTTATTAATGCTATAAAATATTAGTGAACGTTCATTAGGCAGCTTTATTTATTTATTTAGACCGTGTAGAACAAAGTATATAATTCTAATTGAAAGATCGTATTCGTATCATATTTTTTTAACACTTCAGTTAATTAGCCTATTGACTAGTTTTTAAATGAAATGACAGATAATGACTATTGCCATTAATTTATATAACTAATCATTGGTGTTATACTAATGCGAATATTAATTGTCATTGACTTGAGCAAGCGTGAAATAATTTAGTGGAAAATGTATATATTTCATTAGAACTTCAATTTCTTTAAATGCAGTTACATAATAGGACGTGATTATATTTTAATAAAAATATGTTATAATCATGACTGCGTGCATTTCTCGTTTCGCAAATTGTATTTCGAAGGCTGTTGCTATTGAGGATACAATGTTCTTCACGGCAAATGTTCTCTAATTGTTATTAATATAATCCAATTGATTTTATTTGAGCGCGAGTGACTTGAAATACATTTTTCGAATAAAAAACCAAGAGTCTGCGCAGCAATATTTGTGACGCGTCATTAATTATAATACGTCTTTAAGTAAAATATTTTTTTGGGCTCTTATTTTTGATTTTCATTGCAATAGAGTCCAAGTCTCAAATTTTACTCGTTGTCACGTTATACTTTGGAATTTGCTCATTACAAAAGACTAACGAAAAAGACTAAAACGAGCGCTTCTAATTTGTTCTCTGCAAACGGTTGTCACACACTCTTGCACGTAATTAATGACCGTGGTTGCCTTAATATGATATTAGTACAAATCAAAAAAAAAAATTCCGTATAGTTATATACTTTTTAGCGCAGCTCGTTCTTTTCTTTTTATTTTTTAATTTTTTTTACAACACTAAAATATGACGCTCCTTTCTTTTGCTATCCGCAATACCAGAAAGAGAAGTCGAAACTGCCAGGTCGTATTTTTGGTGAGCTTTCATGATTTTTATAGACCGATAACCAAGAATAAATTAAAATCTGTCAAAGCGAATAAGACAACGAAGATTGGTTTAATTCGTGAAATTTGTACTTTTAGGTAAACGATGAGACTAATTTTAGAATTAATCCTAATGCGTGTTATCGATATCATCTCCTTTCAGTTGGTATCATTAAATAGCGCAAGGTTACCTAGACTTGGTACGTTAACAAATTTTGTGAATAATATATAAAATTACTTACCAAGTTTTTTTTCTATGGTAAGGAATTTCACAGACATAAATAATTAAACTATTTAATTAATTAATCCTGGTGGTGGGGGTAATTTATACCAAAAAATGAAAAGGGATAAATAGTATATATTCTAATTGATACTCTTTTTCAATTAATTAGTGGGCCATTAATTTTTTCTAGTTTTGGTCCTTACGGCCTTTATAATATTGAATTTAATATATTGCATAATAGTATATCCGGAATAATATCACTAGATTGTAATTATAATTAGTCTGTGTCTTTAGCAATATATTAGGAGCAATAATCAAAGTGATACGAGTGGAAACACTACTGGATAAGACTGGATATACTATTTTGGATATATAGTTTTGTTATCTATAGTGAATTCATTATATTCTCTAGTTTAGGATGATCTACAGAAAAATACAGTAGTACATTCTATCGTTTCAATCGATTGATCGATTTATCATTATTAAATAAGCCTGCTGCTTTATCGACTTCTATATGTAAGGTGTAGATTTATGGCACACGTAAGGAAGACCCGGAGTAAAGTGAATCGTTTAAGGAAATAAAGCAGATTGACTACTGAAGCAACGATATTTTATTTATTATTTTTTCTATCAATTTCCTATCCGGGTATATCGTTTTTATGTAAGGAAAATCATAGTTATTCTTATTTTTTTAGAATTTTATTAAAGTTTAGGTTTTTGTACATTGTTACAGTCTACTTTATACAATGTGACGACCAGATGGCGAGACTATTTTTTTATTTTCAAAAATATTAATATAAATTTGTTTTTTAAAAATCCGAAAACCAAATTTGGACCTGTCCAATTGCCATTTCGACTCTGTTTGGTTTTTGTATATAAAGTTTTGTACGAAGAATTTTGATAATACTTAGCTCGAGCACACTGATAACCTGTTATCATATAACAAAAATAGGGGTATTAATGCTTTAGTAAAATAATGATAATAAAATAATAATAATATCGAGAATAATCGTGTGATTATTTGTTCCGCCTATGACGTCATCCCTCTAAGAAATTTCTTTTAAAATTTCAGGACTTGGTCTATGAGTTCCCATCTAGAAACGTATAGGTCTTATCAAGCTCTTGATAGGGCCGTGAATTTTCAAACGAAATTTTTACTAGGGACACTCTTGCGTATACATATGTGCAATATTTCAATATTATATGGATTGATTGAAAAAAAGCACCATTGACATGATAATTTATTGATACCGCATAATAACGAACCTAGTTTTTTGGTCTCCAGTACCAGTAGCAACATAAACATGTTTATCCTGTAAATTGTTGAAACTGAATTTTCAACTTTCAAGTTGAAATACCCATTTAAGATATCCATGGGATTTCCTCAGAACGTCCTTGTGCTGTCTGGGCATGGAGAGAATCATATTGATTCAAGTTTGAAAAATGCATATTTCATAATTCATAAATTTTCATACCTAAAATTCTTTGCACAGTATTGTAAGAACAGTAGGTATTACGTTTGTTAATAATAAATACTAATTTTACAATGGCCAACATAATTCACTCGTGTTCTTACCTAATATGTATTCTGGTTTTAATGTTTAAGAATTATTTGTTATTTTATTCTGTATAACTTTTACAGATACGTATCATTCATTTTGTATGCTCTAGCTGTAAAGGTAACTCAAATCTTGACACGCAAATCTACTACTGGACATTATTTACGTTTTTCACGTTATGTAATGTTAATTAGTATACGGATTATAGGTACCTGGCACCATATTCATGAATCGTCCTATGTGCATTTATAGCACACTAGAATTATAGCCTGGTTGTGTATCATTGGTCGATTTGAAAACTTTCTCTTAGAACCAGCCAATAATCTGTCCGAATTGATTCCCCAGGGCCAATATTACAAACACATTTCACACACAAGGTCCCTGTTCTTAATTAACAATTAATGCTAGCGTGACATTGAACAGATTTGATAATGATACTAATATACGTGATAAAAAGTTCTAAAAGTAATGCCATTGTCTCTTTGGTCATCAGAAACGGTTACAAAATATCAAAATGAAAACCGTTAAAAATTTAAAAAATGTAAAACCCATCAAAATCAATGCAGCAAAATGTGCGCACGATAAAAAGGAAGTAGGATCTATCAATAAAATGTGCCTATCACCAAAATTAAAGAATTTTCGAAATACCCTGGTAGATTTTTTGAAAAATACTGGAATGATTGGCTGTGCTAATTACGTGGCTCCAGGCAGGCATCCTGTCGAAAGGTATAAGTAATAAATGATTTTTCGTATTATTAGGTAATCCAAGTAAGAAGTAATTTGTTGTGTCACTTAGATACATATGGGCATTAATACATGTAATCGCTATTATGAGCACGATTTATGTTATCATTGACACTACCGTTGACTTTGCTGATACTTCTCCAGTGACATCAGTAGAATCCTATAATTATCCTGTCCAAGATGTTGAATTTCCCGGTATTAGTGTTTGCGCGATTAACAAAATCAGTTATGCGGCTGCTTGGGATTTTGCCACGGAATTGTAAGTATCCATTATTTAATTAATTGTTTGTTTTTTCTATTAATTATTTCATTTAAGAATATAACGTACTTTAGAGAACAAATACCTTCCACGCGAGCAATGAATTTAACTCGCAATGATATAATGAAGATGTTACCCGTTCTTGGACGTCTTTATCAATTCGATATAGAACCTCAGGAAGAAAAAATTTCTCGTAAATTGCATCACCTTCTACAAGCAGCGTACAAAATATATGATGTTAATTTAATAATGTCAAAGGTACCTGTTTTTTGCTTTATCGATCAATCAATTGTACAATATATGTATGTATGTTTCATTGGTTTTTTTAAGCTCGCGCCCAAATGTCGTAATATAATGACACATTGCTTTTGGTCTGGCAAGGAACAATTTTACGAGGACATTATATTCCTTAGAAAGACGCAGGATGGTTATTGTTGTACCTTCAACTATGTAAGAGTCACTGACTATTTTGGCAAGTGAGTTAGTCTCTTTTTCTATATCCGGTTATTAGGATCAAACGTACCACCTGAACATAGTTTTGCTATAAGAATCGAATGGGTGCGTTAAATTTAGATTGATCCGTTTGGACTGAATAAACCGGTGAACCTGATTGATATATCTTTGATTAGTTCAATGTTAATTGTACTGTATTGTTTCTAGGACAAAGAACCAACACCAATTTGACAGTTCAGCTGTGCATCCGCAAGTTATCGGTTCTTCGTTTGGTCTGACAATTTTGTTAAATCCAGAACTTGATGATTATTATTATCAAACTTCATTCATGAAAGGATTTAAGGTTTGTCATATGTTTCAATTTCAATTAATGGAATAGTTGTTTCAATGGAATATTTAATGATAAATATTGGGGTAAGTTCAAAGATTTCTAGATGTCGCTGATTGGCGTTGTTTCTTAACAAATTCTAAATATATTTTATGATATTTTTTAAATATTTTTTATATTAAATTTTATATTATTTTATGTTTATAAGTAGGTGTTCCTTCTTGCAATTTCATTTATTTGGTATTTATGAGAAGATCTGCTGAAATTATGGAGTCGGATATGATGTAAAGTATTATTTATTAATAAGCAGCAAAGAATTCACATGCCTGTAGGGCTACCAGAACGCGAAGACAAGATTATTTATTATATAAAGGTATCGTCATGAGGACTGAAACAAAACACATAAGACACATACTGAAACCAGTATGTAGTGATTAATTTGATTTCCAACAAGATGTTTCGGCAGCTAGACTCTGCAGCCCATTTATTTTGGAAAACCGTGAAAAATGTTAAATTTCTAAAAATTCAAATTTCAAGTTTTGATCTTGACCTATTGTCGAGACTATTCAAAAATTATAACTAGTCTTTGTATATACGTTCGAGAAATGTTGAAACTAGGTCAGCATAAGGTGGTCATTTTCTTAATTCCAAAAGTAGGTCAACGTAAAAATTTAATTGGAAAAAATTACGGAAGTACATCAAGGTCGAATAAATTTTCAAATATACAATATCAGCTTCTTGAACGAACCCTTTTGCTTCTAAATTGAGATTCTTTTCAAAATTTCTAAAAATTAACAACTTCGACCGTTCTGGAGTTACAGCTACTCAAATTGCTACTATTGAAAAATTGCACTACGGAGTCCTTTGCTCACCCAATAACTAAAACCATATTAATTATTAAGTAGCTTCTAATGAAGAATTCTTTTAAAAAACGTCACAATCTTGCAATTCTGGATGATAAGAATTCTCTTAATAAGATCACAAACTCATTTCCTTCTTTGTTTCCTAACAAAACTCTGTTAATCATTTCACAGTTTCCAATAAAAAGTTTCTAGGAAACCGTTATCATTTTATTATTCCAGATCATAAAAATTCATTTAGTAGGGTCACCAATAAGTCTATTTTTATTCATGCCTTGTTTCTCCCACCCTTATTTAGGATCACCAAATACGATTATTTTATTATGCATTCATAAATTTTGATAATAAATGCAAAATTTATGTTTTTAAGATTTTGGTATCTAAACCTAAAGACTATCCTGATCGTCCGAGCGGAAGTCTCACCGAAATCATCATATCACCACGCACTGAAGTCTGGCTGAATTTAGAAGCGACTACACTTTACGCTGTGAAGGTACGCCAATATATAACTTTCACTCAAATAATTCCACGACTACGAATATTCCTCAGAATTAACAAACTTAACTCTATCTTCTTGTAGTCCATACGGAATTACAAACCGCAAAAACGAAAGTGCCTTTTCGAGAATGAAGAAGTCTCAGAATTTGGTGGATATTATTCCTACAGCGACTGCTTCATATACTGCCGTGTAAAAGAGATGGCTGAACTGTGTGAATGCATAGCATTTTTTTATCCCATACCAATTTCATTAGCTTCAACCAAAATATGCAATCTCGAGAATTTAGAGTGTCTCCAGAAACACCGAAGTAATTAATCTATTTTTAATTATTTTAAAGACAATACAGATGTGTACAAAAATGTCAGTGGTCTTAAACTATGAGACCGATATTTTATATATGATAGTTAATAGAAATATGAAACCTGAATTTCTCTACCGATGGGCATTCGTGCTCTTGGAAAAACCACCAATCTTAGTCGCTTATGTTAAAATCACGATGAAAAATTAATTTGCAGTTTTTAAAAATTTTTTTGTAAATATTGCGTGGGGTTACTAAGTATCAGAAATAACGATGGGGGTTTTTTAAAATTACATACACTTATTTAAATAATCCTTTTGTCTCAAAATGATATTCGAAAGTGGTTTAATCTGTTAATATCTTTTCATGTTCATTCAAAAGAAAAATGGTGGAACGTGGTTCCTCTTCGCATGAGCTATAATATATCCAAGATTTTTAACGAAACTGAAAATGGCTTAAATGAAAATTATTTAAAATGTGATTGTCTCCCGTCGTGTGAAGACTTGACTTATCATGTTAAAAGTACACAAGCGCCATTGCATTCATCCTCGATACGAATGGGCAGGTATAGTATGTAATGGTATAAAATTATGTATGTATATAGAAGAGATCGTACATATTGTACGCAGATACGAATTTCGAGAGTGGAGAACTAAAAATTTGAGGGTACTAACTAAAGGGGAACTAAAAATTTGAGAGGTAGTAGAGTCCCGACTAATTAAATAATGAGACGTCTCACTGTATATAGTAATGTCCCCATAGAAGAGGCTTGGTGCTATTTAAATTGCGATATGGCTACTTTTGAAAATACTCATCATCTTTTTATTTGAGTGCCGTACCTATTGGTTTTAAAAACTACTCAAAATCGCACCTTTGGGATGCTATATCTCGAAAACGGCTAGGAATTTGCCTTTTTCCTTAAAATTTTCACAAATTTCTTAAAGCAGAATTTGAAACTACAATTTAAAATACATTTTCCTCTTATTTTCAATTAACGCTTCAACAACGAATAACACCGAGTACACTTTTCAGAAATATAAATATTTCCATCAAAGATCACATGATACTTCATATATTTTTCAACAAGCCAGGTTTGACTAGATTACGGCAAGATGTTCTTGTCTACTGGTATGAGTTAATGAGTACGTATGAAAAAATAAAACAATTATTGAAACTTTGTTTCATTATATAATTAACTTCTATTTATTTCAGGTAATTACGGAGGAATATGTGGTTTCTTTTTGGGAGTCAGTTTAATAAGTGTGATTGAATTCTTATACTTCTTTTCTGTAAGGCTTTTTGATTCGAAATGGAAAAATGCAAAGAAACAGGAAATAATAACGAATCAACAATATTTCCATTGGAACGAAATTCATATGTCACACAGTGGAAATAAGTGGTAAATAATCTGGAACGAAGAGAAAAATCTCAACATTCTAAATAAAATTTCATTTTACAAAATTTACTTCTTTATTATATAATCGTTACATAAACTACACTTTGTTAAACTCGATTATAGAAACTCGAATAATATAAATAAGAAAAACGTTACTCCTTAGAATTATTATTAATATACCATTGTCTCTCATTCAATTGCCTTAATCACACGTAACTGAGGATATATCAAAGCCGCATTGAAAATCAGTCATTCTTAAAAAGTGTCTTGTTTAACTTTACACAAAGGCAGGAAAAAACAAGAGAAAAATTGATCGATAAGAACAAATACATAATTTTGTCATTCTGCATACTCATGATTCCTTATTAGCATATTTGTGCATCGTATCATTCATAATACAGCCACGTTACGTATACCTTTGTTAGAGAGCCAAATTGTCACTAATAAATATCAATTTGTATGCCATGAACTGTGCAACGAATTTTGACAGAAATAAAAGCACGAACTCGCACCGTGTAAAATCGCATATTTCCTACTTATAAAAACCATAATAAATTTCTGGAAGCACCTCGCATATAGAACAAAATTACCACGAACGAAGTGTACGTATATTATAATGAAATTAAATAAATGTAGCAATATAAAAATGAATTAATTATATTCACGTGAATCATTACAACGAACTCATGCTCGAACATACGTCTACGAAAAGCATATAGAACGTGCACGTTATGTAGACCGATCATATGTTAGGATCTCATCGATATATACCATATGTATATAATATTATTTATATATCTATCACAGAATATGTCCTAAGAAATATAACTCAAGTTTTAATCATAAGTTAGGGACAAGTGGACGTTCATATAATTTTTTCTATATTCGTTTAGCTACTTTGCTCGCGTTTGTAATTAATATTTTTTTCTTAATTATCGAAATCACCTCATTCTCAAAACGGCGAAACGCTTGCAACGTTATACACGGCAATCTACAATTTTATCACGACGGCGAAAAATAGCCTAAATCGTCATATCGCGTCATGGAACAATCTACGTGGATTATTTAAAAAAAAAATCTCGATCAAATAGTATTGTTATTCACATAAGATGGAACTTGGGAATAAATTTAACTATTTCTATATGTATTTTGAAAATTTACATTCAAAGTTCTTTTCGTATTTTCCCTCGCTATTCTTTTTTTCACTATAATTTAAGATTAAAACAATTTTCCTTTCTCGTTGCCTCGCGTATATGTTATTAACATTTGAATTATTATTATTACATCCTCAAAATCAACTGCACGATTTCCAGCAGCTTATTCAAAAAAAAAATGACACGAAATAACAGCAACACATGGCAATTTTATATTAAGAAATGCCCTGCATATAAATGTTTTGCTCGAGGTGGCTACGTTAAAGGCAATTCCAAACCGGTAATATCGTTAATCGTACTTGCATTAGAATGAAACGCAATTTTTTTTGTACCTCTTAAAAACCAGTAGCATGTAGCATTTCTGCAATAATACCCTCCAGGAACGATGCTGAAGGTAATACATACTAGATGTTTGTATAACAAACTTCATTCATATGTTGTTGTTACTGCTGCTGTAATAGAAATGTCTAGAACGTATGACTCCTACGACACCTCCAGAGTACGCCGTCGTCTCCATTCTCGTCTTCATCTTCATCATCCTCATTAGCAAGGACGACGGCGCCCCTTGCCAAATGTTATAAGGAGGTATCAGATGGTGGCGTACTCTCACGATCACTCTCGTGGCTAAGGGAATGTTGAAGAGCAACTGGGGTCAACCAATTTTTAGGTAGGCATCGTTGAAGAAATGGAACCCACGAACTAAAATATGCTAGACGGTTAACCCACCCTGGAATTTCTTGTCCACATAATATCTGAAATAAGTAAATGAATGAATAAACATATTTAATCATTGCTTTATCATTGGGACACAGCGAATAACTATTGCCATAAATTCGCTAGACTTACATGTGTGAACTGACTGCTGAAGTGATTACAATTTTTATTCATCAGGTGATAACGATCACCACGAAAATCTTTTCCTAATTCGGCTACGATCCGACATACGTCGTCTTCCGTGAAATCAGTGTAGCCGATGTGTACAGATTGTCTAGAATTGTAACCGAACAGAGGAATATTAATTAGATATACATTTGAAGAATCTCAATGTACTCTGACGTTGTATATACGTTATATGAATTACGAGTGTAAACAAATCAATAAAGAGAACGAGAGTGTAATGTGTCCTTGCCTAAATCTAAATTGTTCCCCAAGGTCGTCAGCAACCCGGGGAGTGATTTTAAAGATGCCAGAGATGGAACGGGAATGGCCACCATACGCATATTCTACACAAACAATTATTGCCATGTAATAAATACACGACTGTATATTACGTGCAAATACTGCATACTGTATTTATAAACATTAAGAACATTAAAGCCCTATAATATATGGATAATAATTATGATAATAATATGACAGCACTGTCATATATTGAAAATGTCAAAACAAATGTCAGTGCTTTATATCATTACCTGACCCATAGATTTCAACTCCAGAATGAAAAACCCCAAGACCAATTGGACCAGTATAGTCGTTTATCCGATACTATAAAAAAAATAAAGAAACAAGAATTCTTGTAGTTCATTTTTTAACTCCATTTGTATTAACTCCTTAGCAAAATCTGTTAGCTCGAGGGTGGACATTTTAAATATTACAATATTTAAAAAAGAGAATGGATTGTTAACTTTTGCAATAGGCTCACCATGTCGTAGACATTCAAGATGATTGGCTCACGAGCCATCTTGGGAATTAGCTCCTCGCTATCCTGTGGATAGCCCAGGCAGCTAGGAAATGATAGGTTACAGCCAAGACCTGACGAAAACATCATAAAGATACTTGGTACCTGACCACAAGCCGTCAGCACTACCTACAGATCCAGCGCACCTAATAAGCAAATATACAGGGTCTATGTGGTAACAAATAATACATGATTTAGTAATATGAGGATATTGGATTGCTTAATTAATTTTATATAGTAACTTAAATACTCTTTATCTATCATACATATAGATATTTCAACACTCTATCAAAGTATTATAATGACTATTTATTTTTTGTACTACGTATTAATTTTAAGTTCAGCATGCAATAACTATGTATGTTGAGCTTTTGTTAATTCTTTTGATTGAATGGTAAGCACATGCTTCATGGATCAGTAAAATTTTTAATATTATTAATATTCCCAAAGTAGATTCTAAACTCTAACTTTAAATAGGGGGTACTAATCAATGTGTTTTTAATATAAATTTACCTTCAGAGCTAGTTCTTCAGCAGAACATCATATTCATTAAGCAGGTCAACAGCATTTCTGAGAATTCAGCAGAACTATAGAAGGAGCAGTGCAAGTGGTCTTACAGAAAGTTTTAAGCTTGAACCAGACGATGCCAATAAAGCAAGAAACCGGAAAGCGATGTTCAATCGAAATCTGGATCTGCAATAATCTAAATTCTTTGCGTTTGATTTTTAACAGTAGTATTTTGGCAAATGTATATATATATATATACACACACATATATATATATATATACACTTCTACATATACGCATCTATATTCCTCTACATATATGTATACACGCATATTATTACTTTTGAGGTTATGTTATGTTATGTTTTGTAGTTCGTACAAAAGATCATAAGTAAATTCTTAAAGTGCTGAAATTATAATTTTTAGTATTATTGTACGTTGTTCACCTTATTGAAAACAATGAAGGGTACCACTGTCACGATAAAATTCGATATAGGTTGATTGAGTTGCGGAATAAAATTGCTATGTGACTTCTGATTTTTTCATAGTGAGAAGACATTTATCGTTCAAAGTTAGTCGGGAGTTATATGACGTTGAATATGGCAATTAATTTTTCAGTCAGAACCGAATACTTTTTTCTCCCTTTCAGAGTACATTTCCTCTATACGTTACGTTCAGTTATTTTAGAAGTGTCACTTCAACGATTTCTGTCATCGAATATACTAGATTACTAGAAGAGGACTGAAATCTCGATATTTATTCCAATGTTCAGGTACCGGACTGGACCAGACTCTGGGTGGTTTCCAATTATAATGGGTGTCTTTCGATATAGAGCTCAAGGAGGAAATACGCTTGATTGGTCATTTGAACTTCAATCTTGCAATAGTGTAAGATCTGACCAATCAAGAGTATTTATTTATTATGTGATCCGTACACCATAAAGGTAGTATTTCATGCATGCGACCGCGACACTGTCGCGCGACGAAATCACGCTGACATGAAGAATTCCTTCGCGTCTATGAAATATGGTGACGCTCTGCGAGTTGTCGCATCAGTCGCATGATAATCATAATTATATTGGTCATTTCCATTAGCTTGCTAGGATTGAAAATTGATATGAGAAATCTAATAAAAATCTACTAACTTCATCCACGTGCATCTTCTGCGGTTTGCAGGCTTCGTCGCATATGGTCGCAACCAGATAAAATTCTGTCGCACTAAAGTTCATCTCGGCTCTACTTTTGTGCGATAGAAAGTCTGCTGACAAAAGTCAATCGATATCATTGACTGAAATTTAACCAAATTAATAACCACAACTGTGGTTCAATTACGGAATATACCCATAGGCCCTTACTCATATTTCTCTTATAATCGCTATTAAGCATCTATACTACTAATTAGTTAAAAGCGTGCTATTAGGGGTGTGTTCCGTAACACACTGTAAGCACTTACAGCATGGCGCTGATAAAGTATGCTGTGAAAGTATTCCGAAATGTTGTGACGTAGTATGAAGCACTGGTAGCACAGTAAAACGGAATGGTATAGTAAGTACATGAATCATGGTAGAAAAATTACAGTTACGAGGTGTCGGTCATTAAATGGCTTGGCATACTATTATATATTTTAAAAAATAATAGCAGAAGATAATTTTATATTCAATATTTGTCTGTGCGTCGATTAACGCTATTTCTACCATGGATGCCGCCATTTTATAAGTATGAATCTGCTTCACCCCTGGGGCCGTAGTAACCGCAGCATGGAACTTAACCTCGTACGAGGCACAAAAAATTCAAATAATAATTTTGCGCTACTAAAACTAGTATGCTGCAACGAATTTCGGAACACATTTTACAGTACTGCCAGTGCTTACAGTGTGTTACGGAACACACCCTAGGAAAGTTGAGGTGACAACGTTGCGCAGATGTGCATGCGCATTGCATGCCGCCCCTTGCGAACGCCTCAATTGAAAATGACGCTAATGGGTGCTTTCCGTTTACATGACTTTTGTGTCGACTTCTATCAACTCATGTCGACTCATGTCGACTCTCGAAAACGAATAAATGGAACACAGATACTCTCGTAAACTCACCACTCTAGCAGAGTCTTCCCGAGTCGACTTGTGTTGCCGACACACGGCGACACAAATCAAATGGAAAGCACTTTTGGCGACACAAGTCGACTTGTGTCAACTTGTGCCAGTAAATGGAAAGCACCCAATATTGCCGCAATACGAAAATGTAGTTCTGTGCGAAGTAGTACCTGATTTGTTAAATATGGATCTCGTTTGAATTGTAGACCAATAAGATTCGTATTTAGAATGAATTTCCTTGTTTTATACGTAAGCGTAGTTGAACGGTATTACCTAGCTGATCAATGAGCTGTATCAATCGTGTAAGTACAGATATCTTAGTGAAATGTGAAGTAATTGATTATGTTATCGATGATAAATATTGATGGATGATTATGAAATGCAAAAATGCTTTAAATGTTAGCTGAAAGATTAAAAAGGAGAGAAAACTTCGGCGAAGAAGAGAAACAACGGATTCTTTGAATTCGTTAGGAAACGTGAACCTATTTTGGTTTGGTAACCTCTTTTCACTTAATATCTCAGAGCGATGAGGAGTTGGAGCGCTGGTGAGCTGTTACGTAAACGGCCCGACGGTGACTCTAAAATCTCTTGCACCAATCCAACGATAAAATTTATGCAGTCTTTGGATAAGCGGCATCGGTTATGAAATTCACGATCATTGTACACTTCCAATGGATCAATTCGATAACGAAAAACTCTGGGATTATCTTGTCGCAGCGCGTTCACTCGACGCACACCAACGGCGTGATTGACATCCTTGACGGATTTCATTTTGATTGATTTTGACAGTCGGTAATTAGTGGTATAATAGTGCCCTTGGTCGCTATTATAGAACTAGCGCTCTCTACTAGTTTAAAAGTAACTTAAGGGGGTATTCTGGTCTAGAATTTTGAAAAAATTCATTTTTTGCATATTCTTAATGTTTAGATCTTTAAGAATATATCCTCGAGAGAAAATTTTAAATTTCCAATAATTTACGGAGTTATAGCTATTTTAGTGACGCTACTAAACTGGACAATAGTCAAATTGAGCGCTCAGAGCAACGAGCTTTTGATGCTTCTAAGGAAGCTAGAACTGCTCGTATATCAGAACGAGCTTCCGAAAATATATGTTTTGAAGTCAAAGAAGGCACACTCTATGAACCAGGAATCGCCGATTAACAAAATGTAAGTATAACGTACCATTCTATGACTTAAGGCCAATTTCTTCACCTTCGGATAAAATTTATCCTGCGGATAAATTTCTAAAACTTGAAAATGATTAGTTAGCTGGGGATTTATCCTGAGGATAAATTTTATCCGAAGATGAAAAAATTGGCCATTAGACTGTCGCGGCTGCCTGAAACTTTTGCTAAAAACTTCAAACGTGTTTTCCTCAAAACTACTTTTTTCAACATGGTTGACATGATATCACAAGTTCTATTTAACGAATTTACTTCAAGTTTTGTATCAACATTCAATATATAACCTCCTATCGCCTCTACCAATTTTGTATAAAAATTATTTTTTTTAGTATTTTAAAAAACTCGACTCGACCGAGTCTTGCGCAATGTCGTGGTAACGCCAAACAAGCCCTTAATATGTCGTCCCTTCCGGGTGGTGACCGGACTCTTACTAGAGGGACTCTATGGCGTGCACGTTAACGTTGTCAGAAGACGGAAGAGATAGGAGTTGGTCATCTCTCTTACGACAGCCGACTACGACTTCCGTCGAACGACTTCATTGTGGAACGCACGTTCCATCTTCCGACAACGCCTTCCGTCATCCGTCTTACGGTTACGTCTCATTGTAGATAGCCCTTAAGCGTTTTTACGTACTCCGGAACGCTATCGGTGTGTTCGAAAATGAGCCGAGAGTTTCTTTGTTTATTGCATGCATATGATCAAAATGTAACTTGCTCTCAGCGTTGTCGGCTTATTTCCGAACACACCTACAGTGTTTTGGAGTACATAAAAACGCTTGCGTGAACAGACATAATTAACGCAATCGCAATCTAGAAAATATTTAATTGTGTATTGTATGGGCGTTCATACATGCTCGTGTCGAATGACACGAAAAAAGTGTCAACATTTTTGACAAACTGGTTGAATATATTTTCTACAAAAACAGAGTTTTTCATTTATATTTGTAGGACGAGTACTTGGAACACGATGAAGATATCGCGTTCGAGAGCGTCGGACTCACTAGTGCTATAAAATTTATCTAATTACTCTGAACTGTACGCCAGGAGAATCCACATTTCATCAGAAACAGGATGACAACTCCTATGTGTGAGGATGGTGGTCCACTCCGAGAGTGGGCACCGCTCTCTATACTCCTGCAACAAATTCCTGTCAAGTGTCAAAATGGAATTTTTACACAGGATATGAGTTTCACAAGTATCGACGCAGTCGCTGAATACATTGCTATTGGTACTAATCATGGTCTTGTTTACTGGTATAGCAGAGAGAAGGGAGATTTGCAAAGATTACGATGTGAGGTATGGCATGTGTAGATCATTTTTTATTGTACAATTATGTATGGCTCTGGTATTCATGATACATATTTTTTCCAATATTTACAGAATAGTAATGCACCAATTACTTGTGTACGTGTTATATCCACAGTAGACTATATGGTAGCTGTTGGCAACGACCAGGGTGTGGTATCAGTTTTTCAAATACCTAAAAATCCCCCTGATTCGTTGCCTGATAGTTTGAAACCTAAGCAAAAGAAACAAGTATGTATTTTCAGGATGACACAAAGAAATAAAATAGCTATTTATCATTTACAATAATATCAATACACTAGGTTGAAAGATACACCATAGCTGGTTTGCATAAAAGTGCAGTAACTGCAGTGGAATGGTCTAAGAATGGAATGAAGTTGTTCAGTGGAGATAAAGATGGCCTTGTAGTACTGACAGAAATTGACTTTTACATGGTAAAAATGTTTCTCATAATTTTACATCATGAAATACATTTAATTAAGCAATACAGTTTTTTTACAGCATCTTTCAAAATCTTCGGAGCTACTTAATGAAAAGTATTCTGTAGTCCAACTTAGTTACCAACAAGGCCATCTTCTTGTATCTACAGTATTTCGTACTATTTTAGTAAATCGATCACAAAATGATAAAGTATCTCAAGTTGGTCAGAAAGAACGTAAAATGTAAGTATCAGTAATACTGTCAATTAAGTATCAGGTAATTGTAATTTTACAGTGTAAAATTAATATTCAGGCTAGGAAGACTTGGAGCTACTTTTGGTCCTTGTCAGGACCACACAAGAGACCCAGTTATTTATGCCAGCCGACCAGGTTTAAGATTATGGCAGGCTGATAAATTTGGAACAGTTCTGAAGACTCTGATCTTTAAGGTAAGATATCAAACACATCACTTCCTATCAGATCCAAATTAAAACTGGTACTAAAAGTAGTTATTGAAAGGACGCAGTGCGGTCGACTCATACTGAAGTAGAATTATTAAATCCGGCATCAGAAACAGCTAAGCTCAATCGTAGTGAACCAACATTTGGCGTAGTATTACCTTTCTGCGATGATCTTCTTGTAACCTACAACGATGAGATGATTTATGTCGTAAATCCGGCTACCATAGCCATTACATCTGCCGTTACGGATTTACGTCGGATAACAAACGTCGCCTGCACCAAAGACGAAATTTTTATTCTTGAAGGCGACCGAAATATCATACGCCTCGCCTATTACCCGGAAACGAATAACCTTTCATCTAGTAAGTCCTTGGTTTATTACGTACTGAAATTTCACCGTTAAAAAGTCAGTTATTGTTAAGCACTAATTAATTCCATTTGTCATTCTCAAATTGTTTTAGGCATCAATATGGAATCTTTGATAGATCCCTTAGCATCTATAGCGGAAATCAGTAGACCAGTAACAGCTGGTATTTTAGAATTAACTTCCAAATTAAAAGAAAGCTCAATCGTGCCGGCCATTCCATTTCGCAAAATAAATCCAACTAATTTTATCCAATCCATGAGGTAAGTGGAAATTTACCATAATTATATGTATTATTAATATAAAAATGAATTTACATAAATTTTATTGAAAATTTCAGTATGCTATCAACAGTTAATGTAGGCACTGATACCACTACAGTAATAAATGCTGAAGAAGCTACAGAGATGCCACCTATAGTACCCTTAAATTTAAACACACCTTTGATAACGGATGTCGACTTAATACCTGAACACAGTATTCCCAACAAGCATGACGTCCAAAAGGAAGAAGAGTGTCGCAATGACCGTCGTTTCATATTCCACGAGATAGGTCGACAGGAATTCGAGGACATAGTATTCACTCCAGAACGTAAAAGTAAAAGATCAGGATACCGTCTGTTAAATGGCAATGATAATCCATCGTCTCAATCAGACAGTGATGACTGTACAGTAAATCTTAACAAAAATATTATTGGCAACAACAACAAATCAATGAGAACAACTCACTCCTCATTGTTAACACTCAGTATTGATGATGACTTCATATTCAGAACGGAACGACCTAATTTAGAGACTATTCAGAGAGACGTGGAGACCAAGGAAAAGCTTTTGGCGAGCGTTTTGAACTTTGACCTCTCTGAGTACATGACAGGCGATCGTATATACTCAACAGATTCCAGCACGCCAAACTCAATAGACACGATAACCTATGTCAATTGCAATGCGCACACAAATGGCATGACTACTATTATTAACAGAAGTCTCGTGGAACCAGAACAGGTTCTGGAAGTGAAGAACGAGGATGAAGAGGAAACTAGGAGCGAGAATACTGAGACAGAGTCCGTTGACGAGGAGGATGAAAGTTATAGGACTGAATTAAAGAAACTCGTTGAACTTGGTGAATGCAGCAAGAAATTATTACAAAGTAAACTGGCCGAACCGAGAATACCGGATGCGTGTATTGGCCAATCAAATATTGAGAGCAACACTCTGAGGAAGGCATTACCGACTGAATTTGCTCCTGAACTGTGTGGTGTTGATCATCATCAGGAATTAGAGATTCGTTTCAATGGTAGGTATAGCTAACATACTTGAATAAAATGCAAAGTAAAGAATGGAATGAAAAATGAAGAAATCATACGCGAAGCCTTCTGATAGTTAAAATGGCGGTCGAATTCGAATTTCGGCGACAGAGTATTTTTGTACTAACCGACACTAACCTTTGAAATATAAGACGGTCTATTCTGTTATTTTCTTACCATTAATTTTTTTTTACTAACAGAGATACATGACTATTTCAGTTTTCTTATACCTTCTGTTTTTCAAAAGCATTGTCATTTCAGCAAATAACGATAGAAAGCTATTCGAGGTTTAAGTGATTAGATGTTGTCATTTCATTTAATTTGTTGTTTCCCTTTACGTTTTTAACCCCATAATATTGATCGCTCACAGTGAGATACTTTTCGTATTTTCAGTTCTTTCGAAGGAATTCGTGACGTCCGCTATTATCGAGGATGCAGATTGGGTTCTACTATAGTTCTCATTTATCTGAATATTAATTCTAAATACTAATTATAGAACAAAGAAAGAGTTAAACGAAGGATTTTTCTTTCCGAAATTAAGTGAAATGGTCCCGTGACGCAGGAAATGACTTATTTGGTGTGAAATGCAATTTCATATTATGAGGGAATAAGTCGCGTGATATAGACAGTATCAATTTTTATTTGTTAACCGTGTCGTGTAACATTATATAATACTACGAGACTAAATCATTCGTACTTTTATTTACTGAAAAAAACTTGAAGTTATCAGTGTATTCGATTATTATGCAAATCGTTTGCGACAACTTTGTATTTATTCTAGTCATTTACATAAAAAAATATAGCAAGAGCAACAGCAACGGCAGTCGTCAAAAACGATAAGAAAAAATATATATCCTGGAATTACTCTACTAAATAACGAATAATTAGTTTCCTTGAATTAAAGTTATATTTGACCTCTTTTAACATGAAGAATGAATTGTACTGTCATGCTAAAATAAAATAACGTTCCGACGCAATTTTATAATCAAAATTTAATTAATTTTTAAACATTAGTTTGTTGCTTTATTTAATTACTAAGCGAATGTCATAGATGTCGCTAGGGTCTTTTTGTCACGTAAGTCATGCATCTGTATGTATGATGTATGCACATACATCATACACATACGTAGGTATAATCACTGAAATATAGGAATAGTGGAAACCGTACGCTGGTAGCTGCGAGCGCGCTACTATCTCACTCACATTCTATATCAGGCTGTCTTTCGAATCGAATTGCAGACGAGGTATACAGGCCCATAAAAAAACGTTGCGCTGCCGATATTTTAGTACCGATAAAACATTTTAATAAGTCACTTGCACGTCGTAGAATTTTTAATGAAATAAAATTTCATTTGTGCATAATATTTTCGGACGGACAATGTCTAGGCAGTGTTCCCTAATCCTTCCCTGAAGCAATATTTTTTCTCATTATCATCTTTTCAAGAGATTATACAGCGTGTGATAGAGATAACATACTACATTGGCCTGCTTCTACACTATCTCTACCTACGTGGGATATAGCTCACTCTTTACCCTACTATTCCAAGTCAGTACCACAGTTTGAGCGCGGCAATCCGTGCGTGTATGCGTATAACACTAATTCAAAGAGAAAATAGGAGAAAAGTCAAAAAGGAGGGGGATAACTTACAGGAGGTTGATTTGTAAATTATGAGACATTGTAACTTTTGGAAGGTTCGACTGTGCTTGTATTTCAAAGCGTATAATTTATTATAATGACGACTCAGTGAATAGCATCACGGATTTCGACTGGAAGGATCGTGGTTTTATGCATCCTGCTTGTGGAGACATTAATCTACTCGGATTCGAATTTGAACTCTGTAAGTCCTCAAACTTGTCTAAATAAGGTTCGTGTCGCAAGGTAAATTGCTAACTTATGTGAACTTCCTAATTCTCTGAATCAATGGGACTAGTTATCGGTACGTGTCCCATTTGGGATAAACCCAAAAAGAATAGAAAGGAAAGATAATTTATTATAGTCTGAATTTGTTTTGCGACATGCAACTGTTATTAATTAAAGCATCTCAAGTTAATATAAAAATTGAAATATGCGAATCGCACTGACATATGATAATTACTTGTGGATTAATATAAGTGAAACATGATTTTTGTCGCATAACAAATCTGACCTCTAATCATACAGTCCACACAATATAACAGTTATAATAGCTTTAAAATGTATTTGAAGAATTAAAAAGCTCATTTAATAAATGATTCAGTGCTTTCTACGTTTATCACGATCGTCTCTTCGAGTTTCGCGATCTTCCTTGCGTTTCGTCGTAGCATTGGAACTGCTTGCACGTTTCGCCTGCTTCAAGAACTGATCCAAACCGAAAGGATCTTCCTCATCTTTTTCAAATTGTACAGGACCGGAACGTGTGGCCGATCTGTCAGTACCACTGAACTCCTTATCAGGAACGAATCTAAGACAAATACATAACCTCCATTAACTTGAAAATAGTTGTCACGATGACTCATATTGTAAATTAAATGTCGTATTTGCTGATCGTACCTGCTAGTCTTTACCAGTTTCTCCAGATCGTCTCCATAATTGTCTTTGTCGATATTTTTGCCAGGTCTATAAATATGTGAACCAATTGAACTAGAGTCCCTCCAAGGTTTGTCGTAAACATTGTACTCGTCATCGTGGCCATAACCACTGTCCATTCCCTTGCTAGTATTGAATAGACGTTGATCGAATTGAGCTTCTCCGGAACTTGAGATACTCTTTGCAGGCAGACCCAAGGCTATTTGTTCACTGATATCACGCTCCCGTTCTCTCTGGAGACGAGATCTTTTGTCTGGGGCTGCACGAGCCAGATTACGCTCTCGTGCACGATCCTTGTGCCGTTCTTGTCTAAGCTGATCACGCTCGCGTGTCTCTTCAGCTTTGTCTAGAACACACAGAACAGAAATTATCAAATTGATTTATTTTAGGTTAGGGTTGTGTTCATTATTAGCATCCAAATTTACCTAGAGCAGCAGCCGATTTAAGCCCTGCACGTTCCTCTCTAGCTTTTTGGGCCAATTGACGAAGATGATCTTCCTTCTTTTCCTTTTCCTTTTGTGCCAATTTTTTTTCGAGCTGCGCTCGCATTTCTACGGCTTCGCGAGCTTTTCTGTCAGCAATGTACAAGGCTTCAGCGAGCTTTGCGAAATTCTCGTTTATGTGAACTTGCTGCAAGCCACGACCATCCGCTGCCAAACGTTTATCCAAAGGAATAGTGTAACCCTAATAAGAATAAAAAAGATATAAATAATTAATAATAGAACAAAATAAGAAATATAATACATAATAATAATGGTACTAAAGTGAACAATGGAAGTGCCATACTTTAGCGTTCTTCCAGTTACTGATGCAAGGAGGAATTTTCCACTCCTTCTGTTCCTTTACAGTAACTTTTCTTGTAGGTGAATGCATTACTGGAGCAGGTGGTGATGGTGGGCCGCGAGGAATTTTTTTGTTAATTCTGTAACAATATTCAATATAATACTTCAACACTTTATTGTAAATCATGTTGACACTTACTTGAATTTTGGTGGTTCTATAGGATCAACCTGAGCTTCAACCATTCTAATAACCCTTTGTTTGGCACCAGAATTAAAAGACTGACCCTGCTGCGAAGGAGTATATCGAATATATTGTGCAGGTGCTTGTTTCTCAGCACATCTAACAGGCATAGCAGCAGCAATTTTAGATTCTGTGATCTTTTCTAAAGCTTTCCGTGTCTTTTCTGTTGTTTCAAGAATTTCTTCGTCACAAGGTTTCTGTAGACTCGGGTCATTTTCACTTGTGATTTCAGAAGGTAATAAGTCACTCAATTTACTGTACACAATCTGCAAGGCAGAATTTTATTAACTAATGGGAAATTATTAAAGAAATTACTAACAGTATTTACTGAATTACCTTATCTTTGGAATGACCCTGTCTGGCAATAACATCATATTTCACTTTACCTTGTGCATCCAACTGAACAGCAAGGGCATTACTAGTTGTCTCTTTACCTTTCATACCCATAGACAGTGGATATTGTGCGACATGAATCTCTGGAAATGCCCCACCATCTCCAAAGTCCTGCAAGTTAATACAATTAATAAGCATTATATAATCAATTTAATTGATACAGTATTTTACTTACTTCAGCACTGCGTGGTACCCAGCCCTTACGCTGTCCATAAGGTGGAGCTGTCACAAAAGCTTTGACCAAAGCAGATACTGGTCTTTGACGAAGTTTTTGTTCTCGTGCCTCATCCTCGCGATCCCAAACAGCTTGGCTAGGCGCAGACAGTAAACTAAAACAAACAAAATCATTGGTAGCCTACTACTTGTCAAGGCTTGACTGGGTATACTGTTCATTATGAATTGTATTCAATTCGAACTGGTTAACACAATTTTAATAATTATTTAAAACACTGTACCTTGTTAATGACATTTTGGTTGATGAAGTACGTTACGTATTATACGTACAATACAATACAGAAGAAATGATTATTTAGCTACTTTACCACATCACATACATGTCATGTCTTTAAAGAAAGAAAATGGCGCAAAGAAACCAACTACAAACGACGGTTTTTAGAAACCATATATGCTAGAAACATCATAAACTGTATATAGGCTTCGAAAATTGAAAAAAGCGCCCCTCACGACTGTGTGCGCAACTAAGCCACTATTGAAGAAAAGCTGGCTATTGGCTTTAGGAAAAATGTGACTTCTCCACAGCGAATAGGATACTTGTATTAAGCAATACTACTACCATTATTGAGAGTATTTCAATAGACGCACAGGTTGACACAATACAAATGGAGTCCGATGATTGGTTACATTGAGATGTAGGAATACTGGAGGCCGTATGGCATTGGTGAGGGCCGTATAGAGAGCATAGAGAGGGTTAGCGACGAAACAGGCTCATGTAGTAGGCTGTCTCTATCACATACTTTACAGCCTCTCAAAAAGTTTAAGCTGAGATTAAGCAGTGCGTACAAGGAGGTCTGTGCAAACATAATCTGAAATAGTTGCAGAGATATTTTATTTCGAAGACTGCAAAATATTTTTTTCGTTTTTACAAAGTTTCACGTAGCCTACATAGGAATTATATGTACTTGTATTTCAGTGCTTTCTCCATCGTACCACGGCTGGCACTGATATGTCATCGAGACAACATTTTCGCACACTTGTACCTAAGATGCGCAGTTCAATTCAAAAAGGACAATCTGCAACAGAGTGTGAGATAATAGCACGCTTACTGGGCTACCTCCGAATATAGGCGTACGCCTTCCAGTATATGTGTATTTCAATGTTCTGTGCCTTTAAAGTCTTAAACTCCATATAGTTAGCCCCTCATCACGACCGATTACGGTCTTGTATACTTAGGTCACTTAGGCGAAAAACGCGTAACCATAAGGTGGACACTACCGCAAGAAGCGTTAGAGTTGAAAGGGCGAATCACGTGGTAGCACTATGCGTGCGCAGTTATCTCTGTGAACTCGTATCTAGTTAGTATATATATCAGTGGTTCAGCGGTTAGCTTGGAATGTGACGTTATTGGACCTACGGGATCCGGACCAAAGTACGTTCGCTAGTGGCTATACTTTGTCCACTTTGTCTATTTGTATCATGGTGGAAACTAGCATGAACTAGCATACGATGCATTTACAGCCATAATAATGAATGCAATATCTTTCGGAAAAAAAGCTAGATGTAACGTACAAAATGGTGCATCCAGAAGACTGATGGAGTGTTACATTTGGGAAAGTTAATGTCGAAAATTAAATAAGAGCATCTGTTAGGGAAGTGCTCCGATTTCATTGAGAAAATCGGGTATATTTGTTAGCTATGCCATGTATCAAGTTTTTATTAGTGGATACCGTTTGGCAGAAGTGTCCCATGGGAAGCCGTATTACGTCTACACAGTGGAGGTCGTGGAATCCGCTAACAATATCAGACATTTTGTGGAAAAAAGATATAGCGAATTTAACGCTCTTCATCGCACGGTAAACAAAACATACCTTTGATCTTTTTCTGGAAGAAACACAAATCTTCTTAACTTTGACATTTTAGTTTTTTGTATACATAATTTACCAATTTCATAGTATCTGAATCGTGTTTTTAAGACATTTTATAATCATAGCTTTTCTATAGATATATTAGTTGATTAATTAATTTATATACCACTTGATTATCTATATGAAGAACGCACCTAAATATCTTAATCAGTATGTTTATCTTATACATAATGGTTTCACATTTTACAGCTGAAGAAGGAGTGTGAAACAGCAGCTGCATTTCCTCCCAAGAGGGTTAGGAATACACAACCTAAGGTATTGGAACAACGTAGAGCTGCGCTGGAACTTTACGTTCAAAAGATGCTACGTCTGTCATCCACAAAGCAACAGGTTTTAAACTTTTTAGGTATAGAAGGTCCAGCATCGTCACGTACAACATATAAAAGGTAATTCGTTCATAACATTTGTTTTCTGCAATATATTAAAGAATTCAATGTTTCAGAAATTACAAAGAACCAGCCATTAGAGATTCAAGACAAAATCGACCTGGCTCTGTAAGTCATTATCCAATTTTGACTTTCCATTGTGATCCTTATGTTCGGCCAAATCCATCTGCTGGTTTACCTGACATTATAATAGAGGGTGCACTTCTAGGTGTTTATGACTCTTAATTATCTTTTGCAAGTTTAAAAGTTTGTAATAAATCTTTAATGAAAAGTGTAAGTGTTCATGTTACTCCCTTCTTTATTTTACTGCTTTAGTTTTTTTTTGGGATTACATTACTCGTCACATCGATCTTAAAATAGCTAGACTTAGAAATACATGGGTTATCGGAATCGTATTGCGAACCTGTAAGTAACGCACTACATTTAAATGAATACATTACATCTGCAGACCAATCAGTCAAAATTCTTGATTGTTGATGATCTTGTGCACAAAAAATAGAAAATTTGATAGATCATCTAAAATTAAATCAAGGCTCATGACTGAGTGGACTAGTATGCAATGTCGACGTGTCCTCATCATAAAAAATTCCTTGGAGACTTTCTTACGACAATGATGATCGTAGGATGTTAATAACCTTATATGTACATGTTCTTCGGTATACGAGAGTAATGCAGATCGCATTATAAACCTGTTTGCATTCTTAAATTGTTATTCTGTATATATTTTCTTGTTGTTCATCTTCATATTTTATCCATATCAAATGCACTATCTTATAATCTATATTATGTATCTATATATACACGCTCCTCAGTCTTGTATGGAGTATAAAGTGGTTCTCTTCAAATTTTTCCTGTACTTCAAAATTCTCTTCTTTCTCATACATCTCCATCAAGTTTTCTTTCCATTTGTTAATTGCTTTGATCATCTTCATCAGCAATCGCTTTATAGATATCGAACAAATGTAAACGTGATTTCAATTTCTTCTAAGAATGAACCAGATTGATAGTTTTACTAGCGATTCTAATTCCTTGTACAAAACATAAAAATGGAAAAAATGTGGAAGTTATGTATTACGCAAAAATCTTGCAACTCATTACTTTTGTATGACAACCTCAAGTTTGTGTTGTCAAATATTTTTAAAACATGAGATCTGATGCCAGTTCATTAAATTCGATAGAATTATGCATAATCAATTCAATTTAAAAATAATGAAAATCAAAATCATTATAGCATATCTAAGCTTTGTGTATTTATACCAAAAGATTCTGGCTAATTCCAGATACGAGTTCCACAATGTTTTTGCCAAGAATTTAAGTCATGTGTTCATGTAAATAAATTTTGTTTAGTTCGCCTTTAATCTCTTCTTCTTTTACAAATGTACTCGCAATCGGAATCTCGTTCCGAGGCCGACTAACCTCTGTACGATGAGTAATAGTTTTATAATATTTAAAGCTAAAATATCTATATACATAAAACACATTGTATTGGCACAGCAAATTGCGTGCCTGGACTGCCATCCACTATCCGATTTGAATAATTCCATATCCAATCGCAAATATTCACGTTCCGCAATTTCTCTTTTTTTTTTGCAAAATGGTACATTTTCCATAGAATTTCCAAAAGGTACAATTAGGAATATAACGATTAAAAAGGCCACTACGAAATTCTCATAGCTTGCATTTACGGCAAACGACACAACAACGGGCAGTTCGATAATAAAACGTTAGCATTTGTTTCGACAAGATCTACAAATTAAATGGAATAAAAATGGGATGAAAAAATTATAACATCCCCATAGCAAAATACTAATATATTCCACACCCCTTGTGTATTCACAAGTAGCCGAATATGTACATCTCAAGATTATTAATAGATATGCGTATACGGAAATGAGGCTATTGTTTATCTATAGAAAGATCATTAATCATAAATGAATGAATCGTATCTCAACGAGCCTGTTACATAATCACCGATTACAACGGTTAACAAATTTGTTTTTTACTTTTCTGAATTTCATTTCTTGCCGTGGACACATTCCTAACCACCCAAAAAATCGTACAATTAGCCAACAATTTATATCATCTCTGATTAACGCAACGGGTCAACATCTTTGAGGAACACGCATCGATTCCTTATAAAATTCTTTTTTTTTTTGTTTACCTCCTATCTACGCCCTTTGGACTCCCAAAATATCAGTCGGAATATAAAACTTTTCATGCTATTATTCAAAACTATTAATGACTACTATCTAACTATGCTGTCGCATCGGTTGGCAGTCCTGGCCTTACTGGAATGTAGCGAGCGCAATTATTTTCAGAGTCTCTCGCATTTTTTTTCGAAAGCGATTCGCGAACTGTCGATTGCTTACGTGGGCATAAAAAAGAAGAAAAAAGGATTAAAAAATCTAACCTCTTTTCGATATGCTACAATGTGTAAATAACGCAATTTTAGTGTGCAACTCTACAAGTAATGAATGATCATTTTGTCCTTCAGTACTTGTAAATGTGCAACACCGTTTACTTGGATCGTTATTAAATATAATCCTAATGAAGTCGTCTGTGTATATATATGTTTATATTTATATATATATACATATACACACATACAAATACACACTCATTATTATGTGTTATATATGTATATATATATATTTCGTTATTTTGCCTAAATGAGAGCTATCGTTATACGACTATCTATTAACAAATGTAATACTAACATAAGGTACCTAAAGTCGCGTGTCACTCTGTACTATGTATACTTCCTGTCTATAGGTCGCAGTGTCAAATTATCTACTAAGATCAGTTTTTGTATTAATGATAACTCGAGAAACAATTGAGTGTTTTCGGTGACAAATTGTGTAAGCGATGTCATCATGCTTGTACAAAAAATCAGCCGGTCACCGGAGGTAAGGACAGGAAAAAAATATGGCGCTAAGCGCTTCGTCCGGTCGCGGGTAACAATTTATGATTAAATTCTTAAGAGTTTATAGAAATGTAAAATAGCTGCCGTTCTTGCAAGACATACGCATATATAATAAATAACGCCGTGGATTTACGCGTGCGTAATGTGAGAATACGCGTAGTTGCAGATACTTTCTCTGCTGTTACAACAACGAAGGTGGCACCGCCTATCGAGTGGAGGACCAAACGCCGCTTCACTCTTGCACATGCAAATCAAGAATTCTCAAATAAATGAGGAACTACTTAATAATGAAATATTTACAATAACGCGCATGCTATATATATTGCGTGTTGATCGACGCAGCTAATACGAAATTTTGCGAATGCAAAGCGCCAGAACTTGGAGATTCGATAATCTACATGACTATTCGCAAAATGTCGGTAATTTGTACGTCGATAACGGCGCAAGAAATATATATATATATATATTTCTCGTTCGTATTAATGAAATAAATAATAACGAGGCACTGTATATGCCGGGTCACTCGATCACCTAACCTCAAATTTCTTCGAATTCTTTCATGTTTTGCAACCTCTGTACACATACACAAAATGGCCATGAAACGTTTGTCATATGGAAGGCACGCCTCATCTACTGCGAATGCTCTGTGTAACGTTCTACACTTTTCAATTTCTTTCATTCCTTTCGCCAGCTTTCTCTTTCGGCTAGGCACCTATCGGGGGCACTACTAAGAACACAGTCCACTAAAGTGTTATCACATTTTAAGGTTATAACCTATCAATCCTTTGGATATTAATCCTTCGCTACTCTCCTTTGCTGTTGATGTAAATGCAATTGCGTCAATTGGCTGTGGCAGTATTTATGTTGTAGGCATGAAGCCACTTCTCCGGGCTAGGTTGAGTTGAGTTATTTTAGGGTTAAGTTTACATTAAACCAATTTTCCTCGTACAGTTCTTAGAGCTTCATGAATATCGCAATTGCTGTGCACTCGTTGCATTTGAGATTCATATTCCGATTTTAAAAGATACTGTGTATTATTTAAAACATTATCATCCTCATTAATAATCGAGGATGAGACGTTTGTGTTTCTGCGCTTACGATCAGATTTAAATGGCAGCACATGTGATATGGCTTGATTTGTATACTCCGAACGTGTCGTGGTTCCACTTGGTAAGAACTGGAAGGCCTGCTTATAATCATTTTGTGTGACACACATTATCATGTCATCGAAATTTGGTAAAAATTGCGGATTGAATAATGATAACGTTCTCTCAGTAGCTTCACAACTGTGTTTTGTCGTAGGTACCATATATCTGTCACGCGACATGCTGTAAATGTCACTGGTCTCAAGCAGCGAAGGAGAGGACGTCGACGAAGATGAAGTCTCTTGGAAATATTCGTTGCGTCTTCTTGAAAAACTGGCCCTACGATGACGATCGCAAGTTCGCCTCTTCAACGATGAATTTTCAATTACCTCAGAACTCCTCGGATCACTTTCGGTGCTGCTATTGGAGATAGTGCACTGTACGCAGTCCTTGTCATTGGTGTCACGGACATTTAGATCGTGATCGTTGCAAACGTTTTCGTGTAGGTCATGCGACGCACTCGAAGCCGCTAGCTTCACCATCGGCAAGCCTCAAACGGCCTGTCGTCTTCTGTATCATATATACGTTTTCTTTACCTTTTGCATCGGTTTATTTTCTGCGGAAGAGTTAGCATTCTTGCCGTTGGGATTTTTTGGATTGACGTTGAGCACAAGATTGATGGATTTATTGTTAAAACCCGGAGAATCTGGCCCTTCCGTCAGACGATTGAGCTGCTGTCTTTGTTCAGGTGGATCTGGATAGGGTGCACTACGTAATCTTTGTGAGAATAGGAATCCAGATGCAAATCCTACGACTAATGATACCAAACAAGCACCAAGCAGAGCTCCGGTTAGTGTCTGCGCCGAGTACACCACGGGTGTAACGATGACACCTGTAACAGGACCAGGAAAAACTATTTAATCCTGAGGAAAAATATTGTACAAGTTATGAAGAATTTAGAGAAATCAGACTATTGTCAGTAGAGCGCAGTAAGCTTAATATACTATAATGAGACTGACGTTATAGATGTTAGGCAATGGAAAGGAGCAACATTGGTTATTTCACCGCGCATTAACATCATGTTTACCTTGGGGCTCATTAGCTCTTGGTTGTGTACGACCGAATGGATTTTCCCGATCCAACTCGATGACGATTTCATTGTCCCGGTCGTCAGGCTGCTCGCCACGTCCGAGTCGTGGAGGCATCACTGTTTGCGTGGGCTTCACCAGTTCTGAAGCAACATTCACCAATTCACAGGGACAGACACAAACAGAAAGACAGAGTGACAGCGAGTGAGATAGACAGAGAAAAGATGTGGATAAAAGCAATACGTAGAATTTCTAACAAGAATAAAGGAAGTAAGTGACAAGAGGACGATGGTGAAATGTTACATGTGATAATAATATCAGTGACAGTGACTTACCCTCTTCGTATCCACATCCTTTATGTTTTCCATTTACGATGTCCTGGTAGAGTGTCTTTCCAGCATCATTATCATGTAATCTGGTAGGCACAGCGACACACAGGTTGGTCGTAGCATCCCAAGCGCAATGAGGATCTTGCAGTACAACACAAGCTACACAGGAATTAGCTGCAGTTGAGTCGCAATGATGCAGAGGCACTGCACGAATTTCAGAGTCTGCAATGACCATCAGTTTACTTGCTTCACCAGCAAGATGAATTACTTGTAGATCTTTAATAGCTTGTCCTAGAAAAAGAATACCAAAGTTAATAAGATGAAAATATCTAGGATGATTGCATCCATTAGCAAAATTGTTAACCGTGCATGCATAACAGTCTGAAGCACACTTTATCAGTTTTATTCTCAAATAAATAAATAAAACTTACCATATCTGAGCACTTGCACGTCACTCACAATCACTGGAGCTACATTTTCTCGCGAGTTAGGAGCTTGTACATTGAGGGCTTTCACCACACGACCATCATCTAAAATATAGATAATATTGGATTATGACTATCAATTCAAATTTATTGGTAACTTCAATCAACTAATTCTTACCAGTTCCTACATATAGAATATCATAAGCCTTTCCATCCAATGCTTTCACTTGTGGATCAACAGCAACTTTGGTAAATCGATAACTGAAAACAATACCAATAAAGTTTTTAATTATGAAATACACTTATGTTCTTAAGATTATAATAATACTTATATTAATTTTAATAACTCACTTGAAAGTAATTTTCGTTATTACAGGCAAAGTAAAATAAGACTGCACAGCGTCGTCCATAAGAGGATGTGCCTTGACAAAGTTAACTGTGACGTCGGGAAGTGTTCTGGAGTCGTTAACGCAAGCACCAGGACGGGGTTCTGGTACTTTTTCCGGAAGTACACGAAGCCAATTGCTATTTATAGTTTCTTGTTCTTTAAAAGCTCCTTGGAAGACCCTGAGAATGCTGTCCATTGTGAAAGCACATACGGCAGAGCCACCGATCGAATTTACAGGTGTTGTAAATACACCGTAAATCAGTTGAGTCCGGTTTCCAGCATAGACACCCTCTATAACGTCGCTCGTAGATTCTGTTCACAGAAACGGGAGAAAAGGTGGTCCCCTTTAATAGTGCAAATTTACGTTCTGCCAGTAACGGTTGAATACACGCTCTGTACACGTTTACTTCACGTTGGACCACTAGCGCCATCTACGGGACGATCCTTTGAATTGATTGTTTAACGAGCTGTGCTTACACGACGTACATTTACCAGGAACTGTCACTTTGATCGCGTGCTTTTGGAATATATGATATAGTACACAGCAGCAGAAACGAATTCTTTGCTATTTCTAGAAATGATTAATTTCTGTTAAACGATTTATACTACGAAAAAAAAATATACGTGACTACGTAAAACGTGGATATATCAAATGATTTTAGTGCCATTTTCAAATATTACTTTACATTAAAATACCATTTAGAAATTATTTACAGTTTCGGTTCATTATATTATGTTTATCACGAGTCTTCATTCGGTACAGCTCCGATTCAATACTATTTAGGCATTATCGGATAAGTATTGACTATCAAATATTGTAAACATTAATTATCGACGGACTAGAGGATGTAATTCTGTATCCAGAGGCAATCATTGAATTTTCATAATAGAACGTGAACTCAAACAAACTTCGTTACTCGATACACGGAGGAGATACTGGTAAGGAGCTAGTAAATCAGAACCACCCAGAACTTCCATACTTGATTCAAGCATATATCTCCCGTGTCCACTGTGCCAAGTAGCTATCAAACGTTATAGCATCTCCACGGTGCTTAAGTCTAATGAAATATTGGAAATATTACAATTTATGTAAAAAGATGTCGCTAGTGTCTCTGTTAGTCATAAGATAATAATGGGAGAAGTTCGCCAGCGCTAGTTAGGAGGATGATCGGTTCCAGCGAGTATAGAATCGTAAGGGATGTATAAAAAAAAAAAGAATGTAGATTGGATGGCGTTTTAATCAGCAGCCCAGCGTTCTTGTAACATTAAGAGGACGAGCAGAGCAGGAGGATATGAGGGAGGCCAGATAGAGTCGGTAGAAGTGGCGTAGGAGGGTATGAGATGTACAGGAAGTGAGCTCTACTGCCGGATAAATAGACTAAAGTGGAATGAGACGGGGGCCGATAGAAGAAAACCGGCCAATCGGGGATAGTTGTGGTTCGGCGATTTGGCACGAACCGCAACCACCCTTATGTTCATCCCCTATAGCTCCCTTATCCTCCCAGCAGCTTGGCTACTGGCCAACTTTCTATCGACGTATACAGTGTCCTTTTTTATACTGAGCGCACAGACGATGTATCGTATACAGGGTGTGTCTTAAGCCCCGGACAAAAGACGTACCGTTAGATCCGGCGCGAAAAAATAAAAATATTGGCGTTAACAAAAATAAAAAATTTGAATTAGTTTATTAATTATTAAAGATTAAAGTAAGCCAATAATAAGCGCGTGAAAACTGGTAACTCCTCCTCAGTCTCCGCCCATTGGGGAGAGCCAATCATTTATTTCGATTTCGACCGAGTCGAGTCATTATTCTTTTGTTTATTGACGTTACTACATTCGTTTACGTATCCACCCCGGTCACTGTTTTTGTTGGGAAATAAATGATTGGCTGTCCCCAATGGGCGGAGACTGAGGAGGAGTTACCAGTTTTCACGCGCTTATTATTGGCTTACTTTAATCTTTAATAATTAATAAACTAATTCAAATTTTTTATTTTTGTTAACGCCAATATTTTTATTTTTTCGCGCCGGATCTAACGGTACGTCTTTTGTCCGGGGCTTAAGACACACCCTGTATACGATACATCGTCTGTGCGCTCAGTATAAAAAAGGACACTGTATACGTCGATAGAAAGTTGGCCAGTAGCCAAGCTGCTGGGAGGATAAGGGAGCTATAGGGGATGAACATAAGGGTGGTTGCGGTTCGTGCCAAATCGCCGAACCACAACTATCCCCGATTGGCCGGTTTTCTTCTATCGGCCCCCGTCTCATTCCACACTTAAGATATACCCTTTATATGTACGAAAGTTAAAAAAAATATAATACTCCGGTAAAAGATTAAATCCATATAAACTGAAATGTAATAAGTTTGTAAACCAAAAATGGGGCTTTTTAAAATCAGAAATTTTAATTGCAGTCCATGAACAGCACGTTATTTAAATTTTATTCATATCTGCTACTCTAAATCTTATCGCCATTTTTTATTTTGTCTGTCGTACACATTCACTTTGTTTTTGTTTTTCACTAAGTATTAGTTAGCATACTGCGTAAAGGATGCAAATACAAGTTCCCCGTTAAAATAGTATAAACTCAATACCACAAAGAAGTATATGACTGAAGAACAGTGATGACAATCAAAATATAATAAAATATCAGCAGCGATCATTCATTATATTAAAAAGCTAAAACGGAATCTTTCCTCGACATTTATTTCACTACCGAAGTGAAGAATCGATTGTGACAGAGTGAAAGAAAATGATTAAACGCAACCAACTGAAGAAGCCCTTAGCCTGTCTGGTGTGCTGATATTGTCAAAAGATATGCATAACAATAGCGAATGCATAGGCATTCGTACATTGTCAAGAAATTTTGTTACGTCAACTAAATAAAGATAGTAAGAAGATGTCAATAAAGTGGAATGTCTAAGCAGAGAAAGAAAGAACCGATACAGGCCTAGAGATGATATACTCATACATAAAGTGGGCGTTGCCAAAAGGCAGTGGGATGGCTTTAAGGGCGTGGCTCGTACAAAATAGGTGGAAGATGTGTGAAGTGGGCGTACCGATAACCTACAGGGCATAGTGCGTATCGTATTTAACGTATTGTTTATTACGATTATAATTCTGAAAACACTCACGTATCTCATTGAAGTAGAAAGGGTAATCCCCGGGTACAGAGCAGTTCAGCCGCGCTTTAAGGAAGCTCGTCCACCTGTCGCCGAAAGCATGCGGTCCACCCTTGTCGTGTTGGCAGACACGGCCCACTCTCGGGTAAACGGCCTGTAAGAGACACGTAAAAGGGAAATAGAACGAATGAAAAAAAAAAATTATAAAAAAAGGTCTATGAAATAACGGTGTAAAAATATGTATAGGTTGGTAACATAAAATGGACCAGAATGCCAATGTAATGAGTTCATCGGATGAATGAACTTGTTGCACTGCTTTTGAATTTTTCATCTTCTACGTCATCAGGCTTACCTTGCCACAATTCATGTATTCCACTGCAGTCTCGCGATAGAAGAAAAACACGTAGTCGCTGTAGGCCAGGGAACTTACGAAGTTTGGTCCTGAAATATAAAGATTTTCATATCTGAGTAACAATCAAAAATGAAGAAGCAGGCGAAAAACCCTTTTTTTTCTCCGATATCCAATTCGAAGCTCCTCTCTTCCAAGGATGAGAAAGGTTCTCCCTCTTTTTGCGCGTCCTAGGAAGGATCGTAAATTTGACGTCGACTCGAATTGATAATAGAAACGATTAAGTCGACGTCCAGCGTTCAATTTCGCCTGAGAGAGACCGGAATAAGAGCAAAAGACCATTCTCAATCAGCATCGAAAACTAAGATTGAGTGTTCAGCGGCGTTCGTTCGACCCGGTTCCTATGACTTTTTCCTCCATTCCTTCCTTCCGTTCCCACGTTCCTTCTTCCATCTTACTTTTCACCACCTCGGCAAATCGATCGATACGTTACCATTGAGCTGATTAAGATCCGAGCGTTCCGTTCGTATGGGTTCACGATAAATCAGTGGTTCGCCTCCAGAAAAATCCGACACTGTCGCTGCATAGAGTTGACCGTCTGAAGGCAAAAAAAATTTCCATTTTCACACTTCGTTCTACAGTATACACCACACCAGATCATTAACTGATTTAAAGAAGTGAAATAAATTTTCCTTCTTTAATTACAAAAGATGAGTGCCGAACAACGAAACTGACAAAAGAGTGGGTTAAAGTACTAAACTCCCTCAGGGAGACCAGGGCATCACCTTCAAAAAACCCATTTTCATCACATTTCTCGCGCTTCCAAGAAGTGAAAAGGGTAAGAAGAAAGGGAGGGCGAAACAATAAAGAGAAAGTGGAACACCGAGGGCCTGGCTCTAAGTTTTGAATAAGGATGCACAAAATCCACGAACATCGCAATAGCCTCGAGACCGAGTGAACATTTTCACGAGAAGTTTCGGACGATAAGATATAAACGAAAAATTAAAGACTCCACACACAAAAGCACAACCCCACTGGAGTCCTCGTGAAATAAATATACTGAGTAATATATTTAACAGAATGAAAGCGGAAGCAGGTATTCCCGCCACGGGAGGGTTTAGAGCAAGGACAATGTGTATAGAACACCAAGAGAGGGAGCTCTGGACTTGTGCATCCCAAGAGCGAGAACACGTTGCAAGCTACAAATTTCACGGAGAGCCCATGCTGAAGGGTAGCAGATACTTGATACAGCTGGTACACATGATACACGAGGGTACGTGCTCTAAAGATATACGTGTGTATATAGGTATATAGGAATGTGAAAATCCGTTGTATAGCTATGTATGTACACAGAGTGTGCAGCACCATGAAGCAATTCAGAGACGGACGCGGCTCTTTATCCGGGCTAAATGTGGCCCAAAACAAGTGCTGCTATCTAGCGGTACACAGCCGCAACTATCAGCATGTGAATCCTTTCGAGATTTATGGGGACAGAGAGAGCAGCGCTATAATCCCCGCGTAGTGCAGAGCAAAGATGACGTATACATTATATACATATATTACTGACAAGAAAATTGCTGAAAACGCTAGACAATAAATTTTCTTGAAAATAAACGGGTGATATTATATAAATAAATAAATAAATACCTGCAAACACTGCAGTGCTGTTGTGTTGGGGATCGTGAGGACAGAGTCCACGACCCTCGGTATCCTTCTCGGCAACGTAGATGCCATTCTGAAAGCAAAGAGAAGCCAATTTCCGTTTAACGAGTTCAGAATCCAGCAAGGTTGAATTGGAGGACGTTGACGATGCTGCTAGTTGTAGGAATGAAATCGAAGGGAGATAAGAGAGAGAGAGAGAGAGAGAGAGAGAGAGAGAGAGAGAGAGAGAGAGAGAGAGAGAGAAAGAGAAGAAAGAGCAGCAAAGATAGGAAGAGAAGACCAAACAAGAAAAATGAGAGACGGGGTAAGAAAGAAAAACAGATTTCACATTGGAAAGCCGTCAACTTGGCAACACTGTAAATTGGAGCGCTCCTGGTACTTTTCTATAAAGTAAATTGGCGAGTTGTACACGTACTCCTCTCCCAACCTCTGAGAGCTACCCCTATTCTCTCTCTCTCTCTCTTTCTCTCTCTCTCTCTCTCTCTCTCTCTCTCTCTACAAGCTATCTAACCTAACCCTACCATACAGGACACAGGGTGGAATACCAAGCCCCGAGAGAGCCACTTATTCAAACCGTCGCTACTTTTCCCGCCTCTTATCCCCGCATCGTGACCAGCGAGTCGTTGGGGCCGCCTCAGCCCCAATACTCGTACTTCCTCTTTGTCCTTCATGAGTCCTCTGGCGCCGAGGACCAATCCTATTTGTATTTGCGAGGAGTCCTGCCGCTGCTGACCTTCTTCGCGTAGAATCGTCAAAGGCGAAGTAAACCGAGTGAAGGTCTCTGAGAAGACGCGAATGAAAGTGCGCGGCTCAATAAAAAATATCAGACATACAGAGAGAATGATTTGGACTATTAAAAAAAAAAAAAAATAGCGGACTGAAACGCACGGAGAAAATAAAAGTAACCGACTTTGAAATTTATACTATACAAGCGGGACCAATATATTAAAATTTACAACGTAAATCCAATGATATTTGTTAAGGGACGGAATGTCGGCTTCTTGTTTTATACGCAAGTACGCACCAAAGGACTTGTGCGCATGCGCAGTACTCCATATGAAAATCCAGTCACGTACGTAATAAAAAGTACAGGAGGCTCTCTTGTCTTTCTTCGTTTCACCTCGTACGCTAATCCTAACCTTACAATCTCAAATAACGTATATCCAGTTTCGTTTCCTCGCACGAAGACCCCCTAGCGACCTTACCAATAAAGTTGTCAGCGAAATGTGCCAGGTTTAAAGGGGATTCCCCGTTTTACATAGGATGCTATTCGAAATTCGTAGTACGCCCGTGTAGTCTTTCTACACTTTTTCCATAAAATGTTACGAGTACGACTAGTAAATATACCCGTGTGTATGTACCTGCGCACATGCTCCTGCTACAAAGATACCCACAGGGATCAGGAGGACGGTTAAATTCATAAAATTCGTGCGTTAGAGGGGAATCCCCTTAATATTATTTTTTTTCTTTTCTTTATATAAAGCTTGGCTGAGATCGTTTTCACGTTCAGTGACGACCTTATACGGGCATCGCTGTCTCCTGGCGGATGATCGATCATGAAAATAAAGATGTGACGACTCCCGACCACCAACACAAAGAAAACGTCCGCCGGTCCAATCTCAACTTTATATTACACTTGAAGTTCGGCAAGTAGTTTACGCTCTTGTAAGAAGGACATTGATGCCGAGTTATAGGGGCGTACCACCACAATGACATTACAGTTCAGGGTGGGGGGGCTCGACAATAATATTCATCTTTTGTTCTAGAAGGGATATCCCCACTGCGGGTTCTCACCCTTGACGCGACGTCGCGTTCGTGACTTTGAGACTCGACGTCAAACAACAAACCACGACTATCCGGAGACTTTGCCGCGGAACGAAATTGTCAAAACTTTTCTCGATATCGACAGGGAGCCTCCATAGAAGCTGATTAGTAAAAACTTACTTTCATAAAGGAGTTCAGGCAGACGGACAGTCGTGATTCTAAAAGAGCATATTCCGCATTTTGTACTTTATGCTCCGCCTTCATACCCCCCACTCCACGTTCCGCGAATAAGACGAGTCCCTATTTAACAAGCCACGCCCCCGACCCCGCCCACAACTAAACTTCCGCATAAATGTGCGGCACGCCACTTTTCTGTTACCGGCTACCACTACCTATCTCTTAGGTTCAACCCAGTAATTTGTTATCTCTCTTTAAAAACTTGCCAACTAATTATCATTAATTAGAAAAGTTTTGGACCTCCTATGTTTCTCCGTGAATATTTCTCAAGACTATCAAGGTGACTGCTTTCGCGAATACTTGCACACACGCATGGTTTCGCGGACG